GTAACAGAGCTTGTTAAAAGAACTCTTCCTTTGGTCTGTCCATATAATTTTGTTACTTTCCCACAGTCACTAGTCTCTGTTCAACCTGGTATATAAATACTCAGGCTGAGTCATTTCTTTTCTTTGGCCTTCATTTTTCCCATGAGGCGCCCATGCACATGTAAATAAGATTCGTACGCTTTTCTCTTGTTTATCTTTTTTTTTAAGTTTTATTTATTTAAGTAATTTCTACACCCAACATGGGGCTCAAACTCCTGATCCCAGGATCAAGAGTCACATGCTTTTCCGACTGAGCCAGCTAGACTCCCCTCCTGTTCATCTATCTTATGTCAGTCCTAGTTGGAAACTCTTAAGACAGTAATAGAAGGAGCGCCTGGGCAGCTTAGTCGGTTGAGTGTCCAACAGTAGCTCAGGTCACGATCTCACGGTTCAGTTTGTGGGATCAGCCCTGCATCAGGCTCCACACTGTTGATGTGGAGTCGGCCTGAAACTTTCTTTCAAGAAAGCTTTTCTTTCAAGAAAAAGTTGGGGCGCCTGGGTGGCTCAGTCGGTTGGGCGGCTGACTTCAGCTCAGGTCATGATCTCACGGTTCGTGGGTTCGAGCCCCGCATCGGGCTCTGTGCTGACTGCCAGCTCAGAGCCTGGAGCCTATTTCGGATTCTGTGTCTCCCTCTCTCTCTGACCCTCCCCTTCTCACACTGTCTCTCTCTCTCTCTCTCTCTCAGAAATAAAAAATTTAAAAAAAGAGAAAAAGTTAGAATTTGGGGAAACCTAAATCCATTAATATGGGCACATGCATGTTCTTACGCAAAATAGTTTATTTTTAGCAGTGAAAATGAATGAACTATAGCCACACACAATACTTCTAATACTTAAAGACTCTTCTGTGTTAGTGGTGATATTAATTCGTGTATGTCATATATGTACTGATTATAATATATTATCAACATTTGGAAGATACATACTATTTTCCAAATGACCAGTGCATGTTAGGGAAACATTCATGGGAGAAGAACCATTCGGACTGTAAGAGGGACCAATACACTCTTTTATTTAAAAGAGTACAGGGGCGCCTGGCTGGCTCAGTTGGTAGAGTGAGTGGCTCTTGATCTCAGGATCATGAGTTCGAGCCCCACATTGCATGTAAAGATTGCTTAAATAAATAAACTTAAATAATATAAAATAAAATAGTACAAAAAATTCCTTGGTAAGGTTTCAGATTCCACATCACAATCACATAAGACTCTACTGCTTGTCAAGTCTGGTGTCGTATCAAAAAAAAATCCACAGGATATGTGGGCATTAAATGAAAAGGCTATTAAAATAGTCCCTCTTATAGTTACACATCTGTGTAGGCCAGAGTTCTTCGTTATAGTTCAACCAAACCAACATTGCTGGGGCACCTGGGTGGTTCAGTAGATTAAGCATCAGACTCTGGCTCAGGTCATGATCTGATGTTCATAAGTTCAAGCCGTGCATTGGGCCCACTTTGGATTCTTGGTCCTCCCCTGCTCGCTCTCTCTCTCTTAAAAATAAATATACATTTTTGGGGCGCCTGGGTGGCTCAGTCGGTTAAGCGTCAGACTTCAGCTCAGGTCATGATCTCACAGTTTGTGGGTTTGAGCCCCACGTCGGGCTCTGTGCTGACAGCTCAGAGCCTGGAGCCTGCTTTAGATTCTGTGTCTCCCTCTCTCTCTGTCCCTCCCCTACTCATGTTGTCTCTCTCTCTCTCTCTCAGAAATAAAATATTAAATAAATAAATAAATAAATAAACAAACATACATTTTTAAAAAGCAATAGATTACAATAGATTGAATGAAGAGCAGACAGGAGAACCCAGCTGTCTTCTTTTATGCCAGACTCTGAAGAGATTTGCAATACTGTATAACAATGCCATTCTTCCCATTAACTTTTTTTTTGGTGGAAAATCTAGTTTTCATTAATTTTTTTTAAATTTTAAGTAAGTTCCACAGCAAACATGGGGGTTGAACTCACAACCCTGAGATAAAGAGTCAAATGCCCTATCGACTGAGCAGCCAGACGCCCCTAAAATGTTTTTTTTATTTTAACATGTAATGGGGGTAGTATTGTTAAATAAGTTAAAAGTACTTAAAAGTGTTTTCTCAGTTTTAAGTTCAAATATAGAAAATATTGACAGAGGGGTTCCTTGGTGTCTTCAATCATTTTTAAGAGTGTAAAGGGGTGTTGACTGAAAAGTTTGGAAACCAGTGCTCTGGAAAAACTCTTGCCCACGTGTCCCAGGAGATACACAAAAGAATATTCGCACTGTTTCTACCAGAGCTGGAAACTGAACCTAGTCCTAATGCCAATCAGCAGAACGAATACGTATATTGTGATATAGTCTTACATAAGAATATGTAGCAGTGAAAATAATAAATGATCAGAGAGCCTGGGTGCCTCAGTCAGTTGAGCATCTGACTTTAGCTCAGGTCATGATCTCATGGTTCCAGAGTTCAAGCCCTGCACTGGGCTGGCTGCTGTCAGCATAAAGCCTGCTTCAGATCCTCTGTCTACCTCTCTCCTTACCCCTCTCCCGCTCAAGCTCTCTCTCTCAAACAGGAATAAATATTAAAAGAAAATGATGAACGATCAATACACAAGAACATGGATGAATCACAAGGAGATAACGTTGAGAAGAAAAAACAAGTAACAATGACTTACTACAGTAAGTCTACTCATATAAAGTTCAAAAATATGAAAAGCTAAACAATAAAGGATTCAGGACCACAAACAAATGTGAGTAAGATCAGAAAGCGCCACTACATACCTACCAGAAGAAAGACCAACTACCAAATTTATCCAAGGTGTGGAGCAACTAGAAACCTCATATTGTTGGTGGGGTCATAAGTTGGTAACAGCCACTTGGAAAAGGGTGTGGTGATTTCCCAGAAGCAAAGTACACCCACTTGCAATTCCCTTCTACAGACTCACCCAAGAGAAACAAAAATATGTGTCCACAAAAAGACTTGTACAAATGGTACTGACAGCTTTGTTCATTATAACCCCACTCTGGAAGCAGCTCAGAAATCCATCTGTATGGGGCGCCTGGGTGGCTCAGTCGGTTAAGCGTCCGACTTTGGCTCAGGTCATGGATCTTGTGGTTTGCAGGTTCGAGCTCCACGTCAGACTCTGTGCTGACAGCCTGGAGCCTGCTTTGGATTCTGTGTTTCCCTCTCTCTCTGTCCCTCCCCTGCTTGTGCTGTGTGTGTCTCTTTCTCTCTCTCTCAAAAATAAATAAAAACATAAAAAAAGTATTTTAAAAAGGGGGCTCCTGGGTGGCTCAGCCAGTTAAGCATCCTGATATCACAGCTCATGAGCTTATGCCCCATGTCACGCTCTGTGCTGACAGCCTGGAGCCTACTTTGGATTCTGTGTCTCTGTCTCTCTCTGCCCCTCCCCTGCTTAAGCTCTGCCTCTCTCTCCCACTCTCTCTCTCTCTTTCTCTCTCAAAAATAAACATTTAAAAATAAATTGATAAATAAAATAAGATAAAATAAAATAAAATAATAAAATAAAATATCTGTAAAAGAATGGATGAACCAACTGTGGTAGACTCATGAGTGGAACATAGTCAGCAATAAAAAGGGGTGAACACTGACACTCACAGCGACATGGACGAATCGCAAAAACATTGTGCTGAGTTCAAGACGCCGACCCTAAGACTGCGCACTGTACGTTTCCATTGACGTGAAGCTGCCTACAGGCAAAACCAATCTGTGATGGAAAACAAGCCGGGAGAGTGATTGCCCGAGCAGGGCTGGGTTCAGAGCCCGACTGGGAAGGATCATGAGGGCACTTTCTAGGGTGATGGTAAAGTTCTATATCGATCTTTAGTTATTGATACGTTGCTGAAGTATTGAGAGGGAAATGACCCTAATTTATTTTGAAATGAATAAAACACCAGTATGGATTGATGCCTAGAGGGCTGAGTAGACAAAAGATAAAATAAGCGTGGCAGATTGGCAATGGTGAAATCTCCACATATATCCATCCGTATATTAAACGTTCCCTGTGACGTTCTCTCAAATGGCTGTATACTTGAAAATTTCAATAAACAAAGGAAAAACGCAAGCAGTGAAAATGTAAGAATAGAAAGCAAGGGAATAATGATGAGTTCTTGTTTGGGGAGACAGTGCTTTGTGATTAGGGCAGGGCCCACAGGGCTTTGCGGTTATTGGACATGATCTATTTTTAAACTGGGGAGATGGACACGTGGGAATTTGTTCTGTTGCTTTTAAAATTACACATTTATGCTCTTCGGAGTTATATATACATAGCAGAGGATTTACGGATGCCGGGGGATAAAGACCTTCTGTCGTTGGGGTTGCTAAGCAGGAACGGCCTGCCGTCACCCACTCTCCTGTGGCCCCGTGTGGGCAAGCCCTGGTCTCAGTGACAGGGACAAGCTCTGTGAGATACACAGAGACACTTCTGGGGCATTCTGTCACCGTGCTTTGCTGTTGGCCCTTGAGTGTTGATGTTCCTTACGTATTGTATGTACCTTCCTTAGATGAGCCACTACCCACCTGCCAGCCCAGTCTGGAAACATGCGGAGGCTTCCATCTCTACTGCTCTCTGGCCCCAGGCAGCCTCCATCACATTCCTTTTCTGGGATTGCTGTACTGATACAGCAAGGAAGAATTCCTCTTGCTGCTGAGGTTCTTAAGCCAGGAAAGTGTGAGTATGGGGCTGCTAGTTGCCGTCCTTCCTACTGTGAGAAGAACCTCGCTAAACTTGGAGCCACTGTACAGGGATGCATAGGAGGGATAAAGCCTCAATGGTTTCATCCGGTCTCCTAGATCCAGCCATTCCTGAGACACGATCCGTTAGGTGAACTGATATAGTCCCCTTTTGCTTAAGCCAGTTTTATTTGGGTGTCTTTCACTTGCAACTAAGAATCCTAACTATCAGCAGCCAAAATACTAGGTGCCATCTCTGTGTCTGCAGCCCTCCAGCCCCCCACCGCCAGCCCCACTCACTTGGTGATCTCCTCTAAGGCTGCCTCGGGTAAGGCCAGCATCTCCACCAGCAGGGACAGGATCTCAAAGAGCAGAGTGTGGGGGTTTTGGGGAGCTGTGTTCATCAGGGCGTTCTGTTCTGGGGACATGGGATCATGTGCGCCATCACCGTCTGGTAGTTTTGGATGCTCACCCTCCACCAGCCACCCAGGCCCCCCTCCCCGAAGCTCTCACTGCTCTGGGCTTATCCCTGCTCACCCATAGAGGAGAAGAAGCGCTTGGTGTCTGTCATCACAGCCAAGAAGTCCTTGAAGCCCACACGACCATCTCCTGTGGAGCCAGAGGTAAAACAGTGGGCAGGGGCTTCCAGAGCAGGTCCCCGCATTGCAGCCCAGGCAGGGTCATTAGCATTGACTCCGTGGGTTTGATGATAAAACACACAGACGACACATTTGAACATATATATACCATATGTTCAATGCATGTATCTGTGGTGCAGAGAGGAAAGTAGAAGGTGAAAGTTAAAACCTCTGGGTTGGGAGCTCCTAGAACTTGCGACCTAGAGGCAGCAGCCTGGGCGGGTCACCACATGACAACTATGTACCCACAAGATTCCTACCTTGGCCTTCAAGGCCCTGCAGGACCTGCCTCTTCCCTGTCTCCAGCCTCACCTGGTGCCAAGCGCCTCCAGCACCAGCCTGTTCTTCCACGGGGGCCACGTTCCCCGCTCTGGGCCTTTGCACGTGCTGCTTCCTCTTCCTGAATCCTCTCTACCCCCCTGCAACTCTTTCACTTAGTAAACATCCTACGTGTGCTTCTGCCTGACCGCGCCTTCCCTGGGGAAGTCAGGTCTGACCAAGTCAGCTGCCCCATTAACCACTGTCATAAAACCCCTGTACTTCAACCGCATACTTGTAAGATCTGGAATGTAATGGAGGGACTAGAAGGCAGGGACTGGGTCTGTTTTGTTCTGCACTGTATCCTCAGGGCTTAAGACAGGCAGGTCTCGGGAACACCTGGCTGGCTCAGTTGGAGGAATGAGTGACTCAGTCTCAAGGTTGTGAGTTCAAGCTCCATGTTGGGTGTAGAGATTACTTAAATAAACAAAACTTGAAAAAAGACAGGTAGGTCTTAGCAGATGTTCTCTGAACCACTAGATAAATGAATTAATGGTCCCGAATCCTGAAAACCACCCTCTGGAGGTGCTTAATACTCTTATCCCCATGTCACAGATAAAGCCTGAGGCCCAGAGGATAGAAAGCACTTGCCAGAGAATCACATAGGGGCCGAGCCGGGGTCAATTCCTGGCTTGTGTGTGTGGATTCGCCCTTGTGCGGTGATGGGGGAAGCCTAGTAGGCCAGGTAGAGGGGCCAGGACCCCAGGACCCTACAGCTTCACTGCTCCCCATGTCGTGCATCTAGCCAATCAAACCGCGTGAGATCCCCCTCACCCCCTTTGTCTAGGTTATTTCTACCACCAGGAATGCCCTTCTTCCTTTTCTCCTCACCTAATCCCCATCTAATCTTTCACAATCTGGCTCAGGCATCACCTCTTCCAGGAAGCCTTCCTTCCTGATCCCTTCCTCCAAGCCACCATAAGTGCTGCTGCCTTTGATGACTCCTAGTTCTGTGTCCCTGTCTAGGTGAGCACCTCAAGGGCAGGTCTCATGAGTCTTACACACCTCTTTATTCTCAGTGTCCAGCACAGGAATGGACACACAGTGAGCATTTAATAAACATTTGGCAGATGAGTAATACTAGCAGCTAATGTCTCCTGGGCACGTTCTGGGCACCAGACACTGTGCTCAATGCTTTGCCTGGATTATCTCATTTGCTTTTGAGTGGCCTCGTGAGACGGATACTATCAGCCCCATTTTACAGAAACAGGCTTGGTGAACTTCAGTGACCTGTCCAAGGTCACATAGCTGGTCAAATGAGTGACCGAGTCACAGAAGAATTGTCCTATGAAGCACACACGAGGGCTTAAAAGGGAGGAATCTCAGAAATTACCCACGTCCTGGGGTCAGAAGGTAGGTCATGGTCATCTCTGGGTCCCCAGAATCTGGCACGGAGTAGGTGCTCAAAAGAGCATTAACTTTGGGGGCCAGGACCAGCTACATCATTTGTGGGCCCCGGTGCAAAATGAAAGTGCAGGATGGGGCCCCTCACTCAAAACTTAACGAAAAATTTCCAGACTGCCACCGCAGTGTGTTAGACCGCGTGCGGGGCCCTTTAAGCATGGAGCCCTGTATGACTGAAGGTCCCACATGGCTGGCCCTGCCTGGGACTGAGAGTGACGCCTGCCCCCACTCACCATCGATGTCAGCACTTGTCAGGGCGTCGTCTACCTGAGCCGGCGTCAGGGAGATACCCACGAGCAGCAGAATGTTCTCCAGGCTCTGGGCGTCCACCTCGCCGTGGCCATTGAAGATCTCAAAGTAGCTGCGGAAGGCTGTGGCGGGCAGCGGATGCACGTGAGGAGGCGACATTCCTTTCTCCCACCATTCATCCCACCTCTTCCAACCACCCTCCTGCCCCACATCCTTTAACACTGCAGCTGGATGGGGGCAAAGGTCACCAAAAGAGCAACAGTGGAAGGTGCAGGCCCACTAACCTCTCTACTCTCAATTACAAGGTCAGCCCAAGATTTCAGCTAGGGCGCCAAATGCGAGTCTCCTTAGCGATCTTCATTTTGTCCCAGGAGGGCGCCCACCGTTGAGAGCACCCCTGCTATGTGCCAGGCTCTGCTCTAGGCACAGAGCCATGTTCTCGGATTCAATTCTTACGACAGCCTCCTGAGAGTGGAACGCATGTTCCTTTTGTAACGATAGGGAAACTGAGGCTTAGAGAGTAGGTGACTGGCAGGTCTTTCTGACTCTGACTTTGGTGCTCTGTGGTCAATTATCTGCATGGGCGTGGCTTCTAGGATAGTTGTGTGGACCAGAGCAGAGGGCTGGAAGGTTACTGAGAAGATTCCAGACAGTGCCAAGTGATCCCAAAGCTGTGGCCTGGTCATAACGTGAGGGTGCCTGGCTTCTCAGCCCGCAGCAAAGTGCAGGTGGAATCAACATAGTGGCTCTGCTAGTTAATAAGCCGAGCTGCCGTTAGGGGCTGAACTGCATCCCACCGAAATCCTTCTGTGGCTGCCTCAGTCCCCACTAGCTTAGCATGTGACTGTATTACAGACAGGGCCTTTAAAGAGGTGGTTAAAGGGGCGCCTGGGTGGCTTAGTCGGTTAAGCGTCCGACTTTCGCTTAGGTCATGATCTCGCGGTTCGTGGGTTCGAGCCCCGCGTCGGGCTCTGTGCTGACTGCCGGCTCAGAGCCTGGAGCCTGTTTCAAAGTCTGTGACTCCCTCTCTCTCTGACCCTCCCCTGCTCGCACTGAATACAGGAGGGGGAGGGGCAGAAAAACAGGGAGACCCAAGATCTAAAGCAGGCTCCAGGCTCTGTGCTGTCAGCACAGAGCTCAACATGGGGCTCAGACCCATGAAATGTGAGATCATGACCTGAGCCAAAGTCGGACGCCTAACCGACTGAGCCACTCAGGTGCCTCTGGAGGTGGTTAAGTTAAAATGTGACAGTAGCATGGGTCCTGATCCAATCTGACCAGTGTCCTTACAAGAAAAGGAAATGTGGACACACAAGAGACACCGGGGATGCGTGTGCACAGAGGGAAGACCTCGTGAGGACGCAAGAAGGCGGCCGCTGCAAACCAAGGACAGAGGCCTCAGAGGAAACCAGATCTGCCAACACCTTGATCTTGGACTTCTAACCTTGAGAACTGTGAGCAACTAAATGCTCAGCCACACAGTTTGTGCCACTATAGCCCCAGCAGATTATATAATTGCCATGGGCAAGTCGCTGTACTTCTCTGAGCTTCGACTTTCCTATCTGTGAGATGGACAGGGCAGTGCTTCTTCTGAGAGCGGTTGTGTAACTCAGTGCCTGGCACATAATAGACTCTGAAGTCTGGCACCCAGAACAGACCCCAGGAAGGGGTCATGGGGGCCCAGAGAGCACACTCAGGGAAGCTAGAAGGGGCCACGGCGGCTGACGGAGAGGGTCACGGACTTGGGGGAGGAGTGAAGCGTGGAGGGTGGACAGACATGCGCTCTCCTGGGGCTGGGGCGGGGGGGGGGGGCGGTGGTGTGGCAGGGCTGCAGGCAGCCTGCGCAGCACATGGAGGCAGCACTCGCCCCTCCACCTTGCAGGCAAGTGGGGTCTCGAGGCCCGGCCCCAAGAACGATGGAGACAAAGGGCACAGTGCCTTCCCCCGGGTCGGGGCTCAGAACCTTAACATTTTTTTTGGAGGGGGTGGGATGTGGTGAGAAATGGGACTTGTCCAGGGCAAGCAGTCTTGTTAAATGGTGAGGGAGGGTCCAGGGCAGATGGGGGGCCTGGAGCCCCGCCCCCACCCAGGCTGCCTCCAGAGGACAGCAGAGTGGGCTGCGGCTGGGGGGGCTGGGGGGCGGGGGAGGCCGAAATGCCTCGAAAACCTAAACAGCTTTGCAGGACTTGCTGCACGTGCTCAGAGGCGTGGCTCTGAAGCCGGAAGAGGACCCCGAGGGGGAGGCCCAGCGCGAGCTCGGACTGCCCCGGCCAGCTGCCCCCCCGCACGGCCCCCCTAGCCGTCCCCGCGGGGCCCACGGCCAGGGGGCCGAGGGGGGAGCTTCCGGGGCAGGCCTGCCCTCACCTTCCTCCTGCTTCAGGGTGAGGTGCTCCTCGGACCTCTCCTCCCAGTTCTGATACAGCTTGAGGAGGCCGCGTTCCTCCAGCTCCTGCCTGCAGAGGACGGACGGGCTCGGCCTCACGTCCAGCCGCCCCCCCTTGCCCGGGGCCACCCCCAGAAGCACGAAGGCGGGGCAGGGGAGGCCACGGGAAGCACCCCGCGGGGAGGCGTGGCGAAGTCAGGAGAGTCTCAGAGTGACCAGGTGAGGAGGCGGCAGGGGTGAGGGGACATGGGGGAAGGGACCCACCGTGGGAGGATTAGAAAGAGAAGCTGTCAGAAATGGGGAAAAAAGGGGGCGCCTGGGTGGCTCAGTCGGTTGAGCGTCCGACTTCGGCTCAGGTCATGATCTCTCGGTTCGTGGGTTCGAGCCCCGCGTCAGGCTCTGTGCTGACAACTCAGAGCCCGGAGCCTGCTTCAGATTCTGTGACTCCCTCTCCCTCTGACCCTCCCCTGCTCACGCTGTCTCTGTCTCTCAGAAACAAATAAAACATTGAAAAAAAAAAAAAAGAAATGGGGAAAAAAGACCTAGATGTGGGAGGAGGGAGGGGGCCGGAAGTGCGGAGAAAAGGAGCGAGGACACACGGGCAGGAGGAACAGGTGCAGTGACAGGGACAGGCGTCTGCAAGAGAGGGGCCGGGGGCACGGGGACACGGGCTGTGACCTTGGGGTGGCTCCTACCGTGCCTTGGTGCTGCTCAGGCTCCTCTCGCCGCTCAGGTGCAGGAGTTCTGCCCTTCTCCAGCCCGTGTCCAGCGTGGGGGCCGGCGACCGGGCCCAGGGTGGGGCCATCGCCGCGGGAGCCGACGCCGGGGTCTGAGGCAGGGTCAGAAGCAGGCCTGGGGCTGAGGTGGGCACGGGGGTCAGGGTCCTGGGGGACTTCCGGTTTGGCAGGGCCCGGGCCTTGGCCGCCGCCCTCCGATGCGTGGCCTCCTCCTCCTCCACCTCCAGCAGGCACTTCATGAAGCCTCGTCGGAGGATCCCGAGGTTCTGGGCCCCTGCGGCCACCGTGGGCTCCTGAGGCTGCTTCTGCACAGGGCCCAGGGCCCTCCTCTCTGCAGGGTCCCTCGCCTCCTGGGGACGGGACACGGAAGGGGGTCCGGGAGGCCTCCAGCCAGCCAGACTGTCCCACAGAGCTTCTCCTGCCACTGCTTCTCCAGGGCAGCAGGACCTCGCCTGCCTCTTTTATCCATCACTGCCCAGCGACGACGCGTGCTGGGCGCCTAAGAAGTGCCCACTCATTCCTGCGGCCAGTCCAGCCACCGCCTGCACGTGTCTCTCCGGTACAAAGATGGGCCGTCCCCAGCCCGCCTCCAGCCACCGGGCCAAGCTGTGCCGACGTCTGCCCGGCCCTTTCTCCCAAATGAGATGCAGCTCTTGCCACACACCCTGTCCCTAAAGCATCAGCTCTACTTTGTCCGTCAGCATAAACATGCAACATTATCTTCCTTCTAAAAAAAAAAACTCTCCCCCTGACAAAGCCCTCCAGCTACCAGCCCAGGGCTCTGCTCCTCTTCCCAAGCTCCAGAGTACAAAGGCATCCTATGAACACCGCCCCCCCGCCCCACCCAAGATGCACATACATGTACACACATGCACACGTGCAAACACACACACATGCGTGCACATCCACGCACACACTCACACTTACACCTTCCCCAGTTGGACTCCAGATATTATCGCGGTCCCTCCTTCCTCTTCTGCCCACCTGTGCCCTCCCCATCCCCCACGCTGGCTCTACTTACTGGTGGAGGAACAGGCCCTGGTGCTGGCTGGGTCTCCGCACCCTCGACCCTAAACAAGGGAGAGACCCCGGGGTGGCAGAGGGGCTCAGCTCATGACTTATCCTTTGCGCTGACCTTCCCTCGGCCCCCAGGACACTCAGGTCCATGGCCCAGCCTGATCCCTGCATCCCTCGGGCCTTCTAATCTCAGAGGGGCCCCTCATTTCCCTCACATCCCCATGTGAGGACAAGGCCCTTGAAGTACAGGTTTGCGGAGCAAAGAATTCTGGTGTTAGAGCTATCATCCAGATGGGGAAACTGAGGCCCTGGAGGCATGACTTGCTTGAGGTCCTACATCAGGTCAGGTGCAGTCAGGACTAGAATTCACCTTGCCTGTAACTTAGCAGAAGCGTGACGTTGTTGGGTCAGGGAGTGGCCGGGGGCTGGCATCACAGGACCACTTACCTTCCTTTGGGTGGGTCGGGTGCCGGCGTGGATGGTGGGAAAGAGTTGGCCGTCTTCTCCTCCGGAGTTGCTGTGGGCATTGGGGGCACTGGCCCCTGAGAACTGTCCTCATGTCCCCACGGGCCAGGCTCTGGCAGAGCCCCCTGTGGCCCGACATGTGGGGTGTCCACCTCCTTGGTGGGCTTGTCTCCCGGTTGCTGCCCACAGCCATCCGAGGTGCAAGAAGCCTTTGCTGGCTGCGCTATGCCTGCCCCATTAGCTGCCTGGTGACCCGGGGGAGGCTGACACTCCGGGCCCTGCCAAGGACAAGGATACCAAAATGAGGAGCCCCATCCTGGCCCCCAGGTGAACCTCCACACTCACCTGGAGACCAGTTATCACAGGCTCACTCTGATCCAGGCACTGCAAACATCCTCATACGGAGCGTTCCCAGCACCCCTAGAAAGCAGCACAGATTCTTGTTTTCAGGGATGAAGACACCGAGGCCCATAGGAGTCATGGCCTATCCAAAGTCATAGACGTAGAAGGGGAACCTGGAGGAAGTGAGGCAGTTCCCTTTAAAGGGGAGTGTTCAAAGTATAAGAATCCTGCAAGGCGCTCCCTAAAAAAAGAGTGTTATGTTAACTGATTTCAGGACTCATTATAAAGTGACTTACGATCAAGACAGTGTGGAATCAGAATTAGGACAGACAGATGAATGGAACAAAGAGAGTCCAGAAATGGGCTTACACATGCGTGCTCAACTGGTTTACAACCAAGGTACAAACTCAGTATGGAAAGGAGAGTCTTCAGCAAATGGCGCAGGGGTGGATGGATGGCCGAATGCAAAGAATTGAACCACCATCCAACATGCATGCACGCGCAAGGATTAACTCAAGACGGATCCTAAATGTAAATGTTAAGCCTAAAATTATAAAACTTCTCGAAGAAAATGTGGGAGAACATCTGATGTGACCTTGGGTTAAGCAAGGATGTCTATGAAATAACACCAAAAAACCAAGCCCTAAAGAAAATATTGATAAATTCGGCTTTATCAAAATTCAGAACTTCTGTTCTTTGAAAGTCAGTGTTAAGAGAATGGAAAAGACAAGACGTGGACTGGGGAAAAACATTCGCCAATCACACATCTCAGAAAGGACTTGTATTCAGAATATATAAGAGTTCTCCAAACTCAATCGGAAGAAAACAAACAGCCTGATTTTTTTTAAAGCAGTAAGTGAAAGGAATCCATAAAATGGAAGAAAAAAGTGTGTAAATCATATATGTCATAAGAGTTTAGTATCCACCATATATAAAGAACTCCTACAATTCAACAGTAAAATGACTAAGGGCACCTGGGTGGCTCCGTCGGTTAAGCGTCCGACTTCAGCTCAGGTCATGATCTCACAGTTCGTGTGTTTGAGCCCCGTGTCGGGCTCTGTGCCAACTGCCAGCTCAGAGCCTGGAGCTGGCTTCAGATTCTGTATCTCCTTCTCTCTCTGACCCTCCCCTGCTCACACTGTCTCTCTCAGAAATAAATAAAACATTAAAAAAATTTTAAAAACCAATAAAATGACTTATCCACTGAAAACAACGGGCAAAGTATTTGAATAGACATTTCTCCCAAGAAGATCCACAGAAGGCCTAGAAGCGCATTTAAAATTGGTCAACATCAGAACTCCCCTATGACCCAGCAATAGCACTGCTAGGAATTTACCCAAGGGATACAGGGGTGCTGATGCATAGGGGCACATGGACCCCAATGTTCATAGCAGCACTCTCAACAATAGCCAAAACGTGGAAAGAGCCTAAGTGTCCATCAATGGACAAATGGATCAAGATGTGGTTTATCTATACGATGGAATACTACATGGCAATGAGAAAGAATGAAGTCTGGCCATGTGTAGCAACATGGATGGACCTTGAGGGTATTATGCTGAGTGAAATAAGTCAGGCAGAGAAGGACAGATACCATATGTTTGCACGTATAGGAGGATTAGGAGGAACTTAACGGGGGACTGTGAGGGAGAAGAAGGGGGGAAATAGTCGGGGAGAGGGAGGGAGGCAAACCATGAGAGACTCTTGAATGCTGAGAAGAAACTGAGGACTGATGGGGGTGGGGGGAAGGGGGGTGAGGGCATGGAGGAGGGCACTTGCGGGGATGAGCACTGGGTGTCATATGGAAACCAACTTGACAATAAACTATTTGTAAAAATAAAATAAAATAAAAAATAAAACCTGAAAAAAAAAATAAAAAGAAATAAAATTGCTCAACATCATTAGTCATTAGGAAAATGTGAAGCAAGGCCACCATGAGCGTCCATGAGGCACCTATCAGAACACTTAAAAAGAAAGACTGGCCCTGCCAAGCTTAGGGTGGGCTGTGGGGCGGCTGGTATTCCAGTCCAGCTGGTGGGGATGTAAAATGCAAACTACTTTGGAGAAAACTTTGGCAGGTTCTTAATAAGCTCAACATATGCCTCCCGTTTGATCCATTCTACTCCTTGCTAGAGCTGAAAGCCCTTGTTCACGTGGACACGAATGTTTGGAGAAGCTTTATTTGTCATAGTCAAAAAGGGAAAACAAACAAAACGTCCATCAGTAGATGAAGGGATAGGGACACGGAGAGACGGGTATATGATGAAGTATCAGCAACGAAAAGAATGAAGTATTGATACTTCAACAGCATGGTCGAACTTCAACATAACGAGGCCGAGTGAAAGAAGGTGGATGAATGGAATAGATACCATACGCTTCCGTTTATGTAAAATTTGAGGAAATACAAACAAACCCATAGAAGAAAAAGAAGCAGATGAATGGTGGCCTGGGGGTGGGGGTGGGGGTGGGGGAGCAGGAAGGAATACAGAGCCCTGGGGAAATTTTAGTGGGGGAGGTGACAGATAATGTTTGCTTTCTTTTTTTTTAACGTTTATTTATTTATTTAAAAAAATTTTTTTTAATGTTTAATTTATTTCTGAGAGAGAGACAGACAGCGTGAACAGGGTAGGGGCAGAGAGAGGGGGAGACACAGAATCCGAAACAGGTCCAGGCTCTGAGCTAGCTGTCAGCACTGGCTCTGGAGCCAGACGCGGGACTCGAACTCACAAACTGCGAGATCATGACTTGAGCCGAAATCAGACTGTTAAACTGACTGAGCCCCCCAGGTGCCCCATGGTTGCTTTCTTGATTGTGGTGCTGGTTTCGTGAGTGTGTACCTACATCCAAAACATCAAACTGTACGCTTGAAGTATGTGCAAGCGTGTCCATTGTACGTCACTGAAGCTTTAAGAAAATACTCTTAAAATGAAAATAAGTAAAAAGGTATTTTGTAGTCGAATGAGTTCAAAAAAGGCACCGTGCGTTAACCATCTCCTGCGAGGCCCCACAGAAGCTCATCAGCTAAGAAGCGGCTTCCAGGAGGGGCGCCCGGGTGGCTCAGTCGGTAAAGCGTCCAACTTCGGCTCAGGTCCTGATCTCACAGTTCGTGGGTTCAAGCCCCGCATCGGGCTCTGTGCTGACAGCAAGCCTGGAACCTGCTTCGGGTTCTGTGTCTCCCTCTCTCTCTGACCCACCCCTGCTCACGCTGTTGCTGTCTCTCTCTCTTTCAGAAGCAAATAAAACATTAAAAAAATTAAAAAAAAAAAAAAAAAGAAGCGGCTTCTAGGAGATCCTAGCATGATTGATATGATATTTGAGCTTGGCTAAATCCAGCACGTGCCTATTTTTATTGTACACATAACCCCCAAGTCCTCCCTACCTTCACCACCCATTGGTGTCTTGTGGGGCCACTCTGGAAACAGGCTAGAAAGACTTGCTGGGGGCAATCAAGAGTACCCAGAATATCCCAGTGACCCATACAGACTGGGCACATGACATGGCCAGTCCACAGAGAGGAGCAGACACGAAATGGGGGGGAGGGGGGGCCCAGGAGTCTCCTTCGTCTCCCCTTCTGGGGCAGCCATTCCTGCCACGTCTCCATGGACATTACCTGGTGGCTCTCGGGGGCCTGACCCTCCACCGTCCCTGGGTTCTGCTGTCTCCCCTGCTGGCCCTCGGTCTCCTTCCCCGAGCCCTGTTGCTGCTGCCCTTCCTGCGCTGCGGGGACCCTGGAAGGCAGCACCCCCGGCTCACTTCCTGGCTTGGCCCGATCATGGCCTCCTTTCGGCAATCCGGGCCCTTGCCGGGGTGCCAGAGTTGACTGCTTCTTCCTGGGGAGAGAACAACAGAGCAACACCTCAGCTCCTGGGTCGGGCCATAGTTTTACGTTCTTAGGCTCCTTTGTATTTCCCAGAGCCCCCGTGCAGGACTGGGTACACCATCGGTGCCTACTGAATGCTGGAGAGAATGAATAGAGGACTGACATGAGCTCCCCAAATCCCAGCTACTATGATGTCACTGTTTAGGGAAGTTAGGATTTTATTACTATTGTTGTTGTTTAGAAGAAGAAAAATCAGGGGCGCCTGGCTGGCTCAGTCGGGGGAGCATGTGACTCTTGATCTCAGGGTTGTGAGTTCGAGCCCCACACTGGGTGTGGACGTTACTTAAAAATAAAAGAATCTTGAAAAAAAGAAAAATCAGAGAGAACAGAGGTTGAGGGACTTGAAGGCTTGAGCCTAGGCTCATAAAGCTGAAGGAGACAGCTCAGGATTTCCGTCTGTGCCAGTCTAATCTCACTTTCATGTTCTGGAGTATTCCCCCCAAGCTTCTTCCTATGAATGTCCATGTGTATTTATCATGGGATTTAGTTCATTTCTGTCTTCAAACAATTGCCCAGTTGTACACACTTACGATTATATTGTATATGCAGTTTTGCAATCTTTTCTCAATTATCGCTTTAACCTAATTTTTGTATGCCAAAATGTCTTTCGTAAATATGCCTTTTAAGTGAAAGTAGAAAATTTTTATTCTATAGATAAGCATCTTTGACTTTACCATTCCTCTATAGTGGGTATTTAGGGCATCCTGGCATTTCCAGGTTTTTAGTATTTAAAAAGACGTGACAGAGAAAAGCTTGTGTAAAATGCTGCCTGCATCTCCAATTATTTCCTTAGGGTGTACTTCTAGAAATGGATGAAGGGAAAGGTTTTTTTTTTTTTTTAATTTCTAGGAGAGAGAGAGAGACAGCGTGAGCAGGGGAGGGTCAGAGAGAGAGGGAGTCACAGACTGAAACAGGCTCCAGGCTCTGAGCTGGCAGTCAGCACAGAGCCCAACACGGGGCGCAAACCCACGAACCGCGAGATCATGACCCAAGCGAAAGTCGGATGCTTAACTGACTAAGCCACCCAGGCGCCCCAAAGGGAAAGGTATTTTTAAGGCCATTTAAACAAATGGCCAAGTTGTTGAACAGCTGTGTTTTAATGGCTTCTATTTCTCCCAGCGTGGTATGCGGTTCCCATCTTGGGGCTGGGGAGAGTGGGGGTCCCACCTAGCTTTGATTCATTCCCCTAACTTTTCATGTAGAAGAGATTTATTCAGAGGCTTTTGGTTATGAGGAAATTAAAATGGTAAGCTGAGTAGTCTGAACTATTACTATGTCCCAAATCTTTCCCATTTTGCTTCTCTCTGTTTCTCTCTGAATTTTCTCTTTTTTTAATTAAAAAAAAATTTTAATGTTTTCATTAATTTTTTAGAGAGACAGACAGAGTGTGAGCGGGGAGGGGCAGAGAGAGAGGGAGACACAGAATCAGAAGCAGGCTCCAGGCTCTGAGCCGTCAGCACAGAGCCCAATGCGGGGCTCGAACCCACGGACTGAAAGATCATGACCTGAGCCAAAGTTGGACAGTTAACCTACTGAGTCACCCAGGTGCCCCTCAATTTTCTCTTTTTAAAAAGATTACACTCTGGGGCACCTGGCTGGCTCGGTCCATGGAGCAGGTGACTCTTGATCTCGGGGTTCTGAGTTTGAGCCCTATGTTGGGTGCAGCAATTACTTTAAAATAAAATCTAAGATTCTTTTTTTTTTTAATTTTTTAATTTTTTTTTATTTCTAGTAGAGATAGAGAGAGAGTGTGAGCAGGGGAGGGTCAGAGAGAGAGGGAGTCACAGACTGAAACAGGCTCCAGGCTCTGAGCTGGCAGTCAGCACAGAGCCCGATGCGGGGCTTGAACCCACGAACCGCAAGATCATGACCTAAGCGAAAGTCAGACGCTTAACCGACTAAGCCACCCAGGTGCCCCAATAAAATCTAAGATTCTTACCGTAGACAAGTTAAAAACATAATACTTAGAAAATACTAACAATAATGCCATGTAAGATTCTTACCGTAGACAAGTTAAAAACATAATACTTAGAAAATACTAACAATAATGCCATGTAAATGTGTTTCCAAGTCTCAGCCTCTCTTTTGTTCATTCTTTCATGGATTCAGTGAATATATGTTTAGTGAACATCTGCTAGGTGCCAGGCACAGTCTTAGGCATGAGGGATTTGAGACTAAGCAGGACACATGAAAGAAGCTGGTTGTCCAGTGGGTCTAGAAGCCAGTGCAGATGGAAGGTTCGGGAAGCGATTATGTAGCAGGATTTGTGCCCCCTGAGAGAGTAGATTCAGGGCGCATCCGCCATAGGCTGGGCGTCCTGCCTCGTCCCCGTCCCCCAGGGGGCTCACAGAGTTCTCTCCCGGACCTTCTTTAAGTCCCCAGCTCACCCTGGTCCTTCCGGATGCCTCTGCTCCTGCGTCCTGAGCTCCCGAGGCCCTTCCTCTGAGGCTTTCCTGTGTTCTGGTCCCTTCTCTGGACCCCCTGGAGCTGATGAGGGCTGCTTCCCACTGCCCATCCCTGCAGCATCTGGAAAGGCAGCCTGGAACAGAGATGCCTGTGCGCTAGCCCAAGGGTTGGCCACAAGTGCCCATTCTGGAGGGTTCCTCCCTCTCCCTGGACATCGCCCAGGCCTCAGGGACGGAGACATCCTGTGCCTGACTGGGGAAGACTCAGGAGAGAGGCGAGGAGGGGGAGGGGGAGGAGGAGCAGGGGAGAGGAGGAGACTGTGGGGCTGGGGAGAGTGGCTAGGCTGAGACCCGGCCCATCCCAGCAGCGCTAACGGCTCTAGCAGAAACCTAGCGTCCAGGGTAGCACCTGAGCCAGGGGAACTGCCTGAGGACAGCCTGGCAGAGCCCCCGGGGGACATCACGACCCTCAGAAAGATCCAGGAGAGGCTTTCACAATTTTCCCTACGTCACAGATCAGCCTCTGGAACCAGATTTTGATGCGCATCTTGGTCTATAGCTGAGCCAGTGACTTGGCGCCAGCTCCGAGCCTCACCTGAGCCAGCCAGCTCCAGACGACCTGCCTCAATCAATTGAGGACAGTCGTTCTTTTTTTTTTAAAATTTTTAAAATGTTTTATTTATTTCTGAGAGAGAGAGACAGCGTGAGCAGGGGAGGTTCAGAGAGAGAGGGAGACACAGAATCCAAAACAGGCTCCAGGCCCCGAGCTGGCAATCAGCACAGAGCCCGATGCGGGGCTCGAACCCATGAACCGTGTGATCATGACCTGAGCCGAAGTCGGAAGCTTTTAACCGACTGAGCCACCCAGGCGCCCCGAGGACAGTCGTTCTAATGCAAGGTGGTGACGAGAGCCCACACTGAGGGCACCTACCGCGGGAGGCAGGACTTGTGCGGGTGCCCCCAGGGATTGAGCCCAGTCGTTCCTCACCAAGACACACACGAGGCGGTGGGGTCAGAGGGGTGCCGTGGCCTGCCCAGGGTCATGTGGCTGGTCACGTAACAGGACTGGGACCCATGACTGTGCTTGTTGAAAAAATAAATCAGGCGTAGAGGTGAAGGAAGCCCTGAACGCCTCCTTCTAAGACTGGCCCCCTACCTTCAGGCGCCCTCCCTACCCTCAAGGGAAGCCAGGATTTATAACAGAAGCTACAGGGAGAGGGTAATACTTTTCCCAAGGGAGTGTTGACTTTTTTTATGGGGACATTTTTGGCTCTGGGGAAACTAGACGGGAAGGAGGGTTACTCTGTGCTCTTCAGTTCATGCCACGTAAAAGAACGGATGCAGAAAGGCTGAGAGGTGTGATGGAAGCTTAGGATGCAGGCTGAGGGCTGGGGAGGGTCGTGGATGGAAGCCGTGAGCAGCTGTCAGGGGAATAAAGGTTCTAAAGGGGGCTGGGGGCCCATGGTAGAGTAAGTAGGAATTCTCGTTTTGCTCACTCAGCATCTATCCTGGTAAAAGAAGCCAGCAGTGTGTGTGTGTGTGTGTGTGTGTGTGTGTGTGTGAGAGAGAGAGAGAGAGAGAGAGAGAGAGAGAGAGAACCCCATTTAGCCCATGGGGTTCAGTGGAACTGAGTACCACCTCTGGCTGATTTATACCAAGAGATCAAGCCACTCACTCCACTATGGTGACTAATTCAGGGATGAGCACGTGACCGCGATCTGGGTCAATCACAGTGACACCAGACTTCCTTCAACTACTGCAAAGAGGCTCTCTCTTCCTGTGGGGGAGGCTATGCCAGAGGATGTAAGATGAGAAGATTTTAACCCGAAGGGGCCAGGGCAATCCTTGCCATCTCTCCGGGACAGCCTGCCTGGGAGTGTCACATTGGAAGGCAGAGCCAACTGACACCCAGTCAGCACCTTGATCCAGCCATACCTGAAAGTGTACTGGTAGATTTGTCATCTACCCAAGCTGATGTATTCTCACTCCTGCCTAATCCCGTTTGAATTGGGTTTTGTGTCACTTGTAATTGGATCTTAATTAAAGCAGTTGGGGGAGGAAGCCTGGACGGGGGAGGGGAAAGGCGCCTGCTGGGAAGAGCAGGGTCAGAACATGAGGTGCAGGGCCCAACCTGGCTGGCTCCTGATATGGCAGGCTCAACCCCGGGCCTCTTGCTGGTGGTGCCCATGCCAGGACTTGGCTGGGCCCCCGGAGCCTTGGTCCTTCCCTCCACGTGCATCTGGGTGTTTCGGTCCGTTGTGCCACAGCCAGTGAGGGTGCCAAGCGAGGAGCATCAGTTTCTGTGGTCCCAGACCGCGCCCGTTACCTGAGCGCCTCTTCAGCAGCCCGTGTGGAACCTGTAACAGAGAGAGCCGGGCTCCAGGGAGGAGTCAGGGCCCGGCCCGCACCGCAGGGGCAGGCAGCCGAAACAGAGAGCTAGCCACACGTTCTTCCTAATTCTCACAGTGACTCCAAGGAGCAAAGTCACTTGCTCAGGGTCCTCTGCCAACCAGGCCACAGAGCAGGAATTAAACCGGGGCCGGTTGGATCCCCAAACACATGCACTTTCTCCCACCCCCAGTATTTCCTTTTTTTTTTTTTAATTTTTTTTAATGTTTTATTTATTTCTGAGAGAGAGAGAGACAGCGTGAGCAGGGAAGGGTCAGAGAGAGGGGGAGACACAGAATCTGAAGCAGGCTCCAGGCTCTGAGCTGTCAGCACAGAGCCCGATGCGGGGCTTGAACCCACGAACCTTGAGATCATGACCTGAGCTGATGTCGGGCGCTTAACCGACTGAGTTACCCAGGCGCCCCCACCCCCAGTATTTCCTAATGGGGCTCCTTTGGTCCTAATGTTGATCCCATGAAGTACACCACAAAAAAAGGAAGGAAGGAAGGAAGGGAGGGAGGGAGGGAGGGAGGGAGGGAGGAAAAAGAAAAAGAAAAAGAAAAAAGAGTTCTGAGGCCAAATGCATTTGGAAACTGCTGAGATAGAATAGAACAGGCTCGGGGCGCCTGGGTGGCTCAGTCGGTTGAGCGTCTGGCTTCGGCTCAGGTCATGATCTCGCGGTTCGTGGGTTCGAGCCCCATGTCAGGCTCTGTGCTGATAGCCAGCTCAGAGCCTGGAGCCTGTTTGGGATTCTGTGTCTCCCTCTCTCTCTGACCCTCCCCTGCTCATGCTGTCTCTCTCTCTCCCTCTCTCTCAAAAATAAATAAAACATTAAAGAAAAAAATAGAACAGGCTCTGTGCTGCAGGACTTCTCAGAGCCTTTAAAGTGCATATGAAATACACATTTTTAAAATTTTTTGACGCTTATTTCTTTTTGACAGACAGAGATAGAATGTGAGTGGGGGAGGGACAGAGAGAGAGAGAGAGAGAGAGAGGGAGACACAGAATCCAAAGCAGGCTCCAGGCTCTGAGCTGTCAGCACAGAGCCTCTTACGGGCCTTGAACTCACAGACCGTGAGATCATGACCTGAGCCAAAGTCTGACGCTTAACTGACTGAGCCACCCAGGCGCCCTTAAAGTATGCATTTTAAAAGATAGCCCAGAATGTCACAATTGCTGCTGCTATAGACGAGAACTGCAAGTTCTCGTAGTCAAGGAACAAGAGCTGGGAACATCGGTCCTGGGACCCCCAAGGTGCTTCGCTTAAGCACTCTCCACCCTCCACCCTGCGCTGGACACACCCCTTTCTAAAGCCTTTCTTGGTGTCCCTCTGGCGTCTCTCATCCAACCTCTTATTAGGCTATGTCACCACGCCCTCCACAAACATGCTGTTTTAATCTGAGCAGCCTCCCACAACCCTTCTCTCCAACACCCCCCACCCCCGTTCTTCAACCTCCCACCTCTTCCTGAAGCTTCCAGCCACCTCAGCCCTACCTCCAGCTCTGAATTCCTCTGAGTCAACATTAACCCCATTTCTATGGGTGCATTGCAGACCCCTTTTTACTGTTAATGAGTTTCTGGGAGTAAATCCCACCCCCCAGTGTGACCCTTGGACTTTGAAGATCTTGATGGTCTTCACTTTAAATCATGGCGGGCCGGCCAACGGGCACAGGAACCTTCTATTTGCTGGGGGGCCTTTGCAAGCCGTATTCTCGGATTCTCCTACCTACTCTGTGAGGTCACTGGGTTCAGCCCTGAGGCTCAGAGGAGCCCAGTGTCTTGTCCAGTACAACACAGCGAGTCTGCAGAAGATCTGGCTTCAAACCCAGGCCTGTGCGGCTCCCAGGATGGCATGTCTCACCAGATTATCTTGCATCCAAAGAAGCCTGAGCCACTCATTCCTTTACCTACACACCAACAGATGTCTAACAGACAGGCGCCCAAGCTGGGCTCAGCACAGGGCCTGAGGCTACACTGGCTGTTCTGAAGGCTCTCACAGTTCAACGGGGGGCCCGGAGCAGGTGCTCCAATAGCCACGGCCCCCAGTCCCCACTCTCTCCTCCTTTCCTCCCACCCCTACCCACACCCCAATCCTTCCTGCAGCTAGGCGGGCGCCCGTACAATGCAGATGAGACCTCCCTCCCGTGGGGCGCCCCTGGGCCCGTTTCCCGAAGTCTAGTCTCTCACTTGGTATAGGGAGGTCAGCGCTGTGACCAAGTCCCTCCCTCTCCCTTGGAAGTTGCTTGCTCCTTTTGTCTCTCTCCCAGGACGGCTCCCTGTGCTTCCCCCTTTCCTCCAGGCATCCCTGCGCCAGGGGTGGGTGACCCATCTGGAGGACTGCCCTCAGACCCCCCCTCCCGAACACGCCCCTTATTGTCCCCTGTCTCCACCTCAGAATCCTCAGGCCCCAATATTCCACATGCTGGAATATTAAGGGGGCAGAGGCTCCAGAGGGGAACCAGCCCCTTCTCCATCCGCATCTGGAACTCGCAAACTCTGTGAGAATCTGAATGAGGGGATGCCCCCCCCAACCCTACCAGAAGGGCATGGAATCTAAGGACAGAACGGAGAGGGGCGGGTGGCACATACAGATGATGATCTCCTTTTAGAGCATTTGGTGCCTTCTCTTTTTGTCCACGGCTTTGTGACGATTTCATTCACATTCCATTAACTATTAATCAATCAATCAATCAATCAATCAATCGATTTTTTATTATTTATTTTATTTTATTTTTAATATTTTTATTTATTTCTAGGAGAGAGAGACAGCGTGAGCAGGGGAGGGTCAGAGAGAGAGGGAGACACAGAATCTGAAATAGGCTCCAAGTTCTGAGCTGGCAGTCAGCACAGAGCCCGATGAGGGGCTCGAACCCACGAACCGTGAGATCATGACCTAAGCGAAAGTCGGACGCTTAACCGACTAAGCCACCCAGGCGCCCTAATATTTATTTTATTTTTGAGAAAAAGAGAGAGCAGGCAAGCTGAGGAGGGGCAGAGAGAGAGACAGAGAGAAAGAGACAGAGAGAGAGAATCCCAAGCAGGCTCCACACTCAGCACAGAGCCCGACGTGGGGTTTGATCCCACAACTGTGAGATCATGACCTGAACCGGAATCGAGTCACACGCTCAACAGACTGAGTCACCAGGCACCCCACAGTTCTTCCCTTTAAAGTGTACAATTTAAGGATACCTGGGTGCCTCAGTCAGTTAGGCATCCGACTCTTGATTTTGGCTCAGGTCATGATCTCACAGTTCATGAGTTCAAGCCCCACATCGGGCTCTGTGCTGACAGTGCAGAGCCTGCTTGAGATTCTCTCTCTCCCTCTCTCTTTCAAAATAAATAAATGAATTTAAAAAAATAAACTGTATAACTCAATGGCTTGTAATATATTCGCAGAATTGTTTGATGTTCACTCCAATATTAGAACAACTTTGTCAGCCTGAAAAGAAACTCCACACCCCTTAGCCATCATCTCAACCCTCACACCCCACCCCAGCCCTAGGTAACCACTGATCTACTTTCCGTCTTGCACATATGCCTGTTCTGGACATTTCATATAAAAGGACTCATACAATACATGGTCCTTGGTGACTGGCTTCTTTCACTTGGGAAAATGTTGTCAGGATTCATCCCCTTTTGGGGCCAACATATTTTATTTTCTATATCCATTTATCGGTTAAGGGACATTTGTGTGTTTCTAATCTTTGGCTATTATGAAGAATGCTGCTATAAACATTTGTGGACATATTTCTGTGCGAATACATGTTTTCATTTGTCTTGAATTTGCAGCTAGGAAAGTAATTGCTGGGTTATACCCTAGCTTTATGTTTAGTTTCTTGTGTAATTGCCAGATGGTTTTCCAAGGGGGAGGCATCATTTTACCGTCCCCACTGCACTGTAGGAGGGTTCCAACTTTTCTACATCCTGACGAACACTTGTTATTATCTGCCATTTTAAATTCTAGCCATCCTAGTGGGTATGGGTATGAAGTGGAATCTCATCTCACTGTGGTTTTGGTTTGCATTTCCCAGATGGCTGACAAGGTGGATCCCTTTCTTTCTTTCAATTTGTCTATTTTTTTTAAATGATTTTTGTGAGAGAAAGAGAGAGAGTGAGAGCAAGAGAGAGAGAGGGGCAGAGCATGAGCAGGGGAGGGGCAGAGAGAGAGGGAGACATAGAATCAGAAGCAGGCTCCAGGCTCCCAGCTGTCAGCACAGAGCCCGACATGGGGCTCGAACTCACAAATTGTGAGACCATGACCTGAGCCGAAGTCAGACACTCAACTGACTGAGCCATCCAGGCACCCCATGGTGGGCCATCTTTCCATGTGCTTATTCATATATCTTCTTGGGGAAAATGTCTACTAGAGTCCATTATTCATGTATAAATTAAATTATTTGTCTTTTTACTATTGAACAGTAAGAATTCTTTATATATTCTAGATGCAAGTAAGTCCTTTGTCAGATATATAATTTGCAAGATTATTCTCCCATGGTGTGCATTGTATTTTCACTTGTCCTTTGAAGCACAAAAGTTTTACATTTTATTGAAGTCTTATTTATCTATTTTTCTTTTTTTAGAAAAATGTTTATGTATTTATTTTGAGAGGGAGAGAGAGAGAGAGAGAGAGAGAGCAAACGTGTGAGCAGGGTAGAAGGGCAGAGGGAGAGAGGGAGAGAATCCCAAGTAGGCTCCATGCTCAGTACAAAGTCTGATGCAGGGCTTGATCCCAGGACCATGAGATCATGACCTGAGCTGAAGTCAAGAGTCTGACGTTTAATCGACTGAGCCATCCAGGCACCACTATTTTTTATTTTGTTGCTTGTGCTTTTAGTGTCATTTCTTGTTGGGAGCCATTCTGAGCCCAAGATTCTTTTTTATTAGAACACAAATTCCAGGGGCGCTTGGGTGGCTCAGTCGGTTAAGCATCTGACTTCAGCTCAGGTCATGATCTCACGGTCTGTGGGATCGAGCCTCGCATCAGGGGGTTGACAGCCCCTGCTGACGGATCAGAGCCTGGAGCCTGCTTCAGATTCTGCATCTCCCTCTCTCTCTCAGCTCTTCCTCCACTCACACTCTGTCTCTCTGTCTCTCTTTCAAAAGTAAATAAACATTAAAACATATTAAAAAACAAAAAAAAGAACACAAATTCCAGGTCATGGAGATTTAGGTCTATGTTTTCTTCTAAAAGTTGTGTAGTTTTGGCTCTTACACTTATGCCTGGGATCTATTTTTATTTCATTTTCTATATGGTGTGAGGTAGGGATTGAACTTCATTCTTCTGCATGTGGATATCTCAGCACCATTTATGAAAAGACTATTGTTTCTCTATTGAATTGTTTTGGCACACTTCTAGAAAGTCAACTGACTGTAAATGTGAGGGGTTATTTCTGGATTCTCAGTTCTATTCCACTGATCTGTAAATGCACCCTTATTTCAGTACTATAGTGTCTCAATTACTGTAGTTTTGCAGTAAGTCTTAAAACCAGGAAGGTGTGAGTTCTCCAACTTTGTTCTTTTTCAAGGCTGTTTTGTTATTGAGTGCCCTTTCATAAGTGATTTCCCCATCTGAGAAGTGGGAGAAATTTCTCTTAGAAATGTCTATGATGGAAGAAAGATACAGCAGAGAAAGATGATAAGTGACCTATGATATATATATTTCAGTAGGCCACCAAGGACAGCTTTCCACATCAACCCCTCACCCTGGCCCTGGCCCTGCAGAAAGCATCTGGATGAATCAGCAAGATTTTGCTTCCTTGCTCACTTCCTCATACTTGGGATGGGCTCTATCTGAGCTTATATATACTCAGCTTGTTGGGTTGAATTGGATGTTTGGTAAATAATATAATTAACCTGGGAGTAGATAATAGGTCCACTTACTCTCTGCAGCAGAGGTGTGGGAAGGCACTTCAGGAATGTCCAGCTATGAGGCTGGGATTTGAGAAGAAGGCAAGGGACTGTTTGACTTCTTCCAAGTCAAGGACAATGTGGTTTCCCTGGGCTTGTCACTGTTTCAGTGGCCCCCATCACACCACAGAGAGAACAATCCTTGCCCTGCCCACTCACAGGGACTGTTATGTCCATGTAACATCTTCCGGAGAGCCTTCCCTGACTTCCCAAGCCTGAGTTGTTCACAGCCCCCATGAATTCCTCCACCCTAGCACTTCCCACTGTGCATTGTAAATGACTCCTTTTCCCCTCTACCTCTTCTGGCCTGTGAGTTCAATGAAGGCAAGAGCTGGGTTGGCTTCATCTCTGTGGCCCCGGCACCCAGCACCTGGCATAGGGTAGGTGCTCAGTTCCTATCAATGTTAGACAGAACTGAACTGAACACACTCCAAACACATCGTAAGGCCTGGCTGCCCCCTGGCATGGAGTGGTGCTTCCTTTTGAGATTCACGAGAGGAAGGCTTCCTGCCTGTGGTGGCCACAGTCACCGTGGGCTCCCTTCATGCTGCCTGGTTTCCAGAGTGGAAGTGATGGAGCTCAGTGCTGATTATGGACACCACTCCAAAGTTCAGTTCTCGAGAGCTGGTCCTAGATGCTCTCCCAGCTGGATGTTCTTTAACCCATGAGTACGGGTGCTTTGCTCCTTGGAGACCCAATTGCCCCCTGTGTTGTTCAGTACATATTGATGCAAGGAGTCAGAGTGTGAAAGAGAAAACACAGTGGCCCATCCCCAAATTCCCACTTGGTTTTGGGATGTAGCCAACTGAACACACACACATTTGCTCATTTATTTGTTGAGCAGTTACTCTGTGCCAGAACTTGTGCTGCTGAATACGGGATCCACAGGGGACAGGGACAGGGTCCTTCGTTCAAAGGGCTCACAGTCTGGTGGGGGAGCAGTCATATAAACCGTATGGTGAGAACGTGAAGGGGTAAGACCGTCAGTGTGGGAATGTGCCCTCCCTGCCCCTCTCGATATCTCTCCCACTCCTCCTTTGAAGAGGAGTTCTCTCTTTGCCATTCCAGGACTTAAGGAAAATGAGAGACAGGATCAAAGAAGTAGGAAGAAGAAATCTCATTCCCTGGGTCATGTCTCAATTTCTTCTTCGTTGGGGAGAATCAGGGTGATAGGCAATGTTGAAATTAGAGGTTAAGTCAATTCACATAAAGAGAAATTAACTTCACCCCCACCAGGATGGCTGTGATCAAAGAAAGTGGAAATTAAGTATGGGTAAGGATGTGGGAAAATCGGAACCCTTGTTTATTGCTGGTGGGAACGTAAAATGGTGTAGTCACTATGAAAAACAGTTCGGTGGTTCCTCAGAAAGCTAAACATAAAATACCATATGGCCCAACAAATCCACCTCTAGATATATATACTCTAGAGAATTGAAAACAAGGACTCGGACATATCAGCATCATTCACAGTAGCCAAAGGGTGGAAACAACCCAAATGTCCATCAACAGATAAATGGTAAACAAAATAAGGAATATCATTCAGCCATCAACAGGAATGAAATTCTCATAGATGCTATGACAGGAAGGAACCTTGAAAACATTATACTAAGAAATAAACCAAGTACAAAGGACTTATACTGTATGATGTGATGATTCCACTTATATGAAGTATCTAAAACAGCCAAATTCACAGAGACAGAAAGTAGAGTAGAGGCTACCAGGGGTTGGGGGTAACGGAGAAATGGGGTGTTCTTGCTTAATGGGTACAGAGTTTCTGTTTGGGATAATGGAAAAAGTTCTGGAAATCGTGGTGGTAGTTACATGCAATACTGTGTATGTACGTAATTCCACTTAATCACACACTTAAAGATGGTTAAAATGGTAAAGTTTATGGTATGTATATATTACCACAATACAAAAGATCTTTTATTGTTGTTGTTTTTTTATTTTTGAGAGAGAGAGAGTGTGTGAGAGCATGGGGGAGGAACAGAGAGAAAGGGAGACAGAGAATCCCGAGTGTGCTGTGTGCCATCAGTGCAGAGTCCCACGCGGGGCTCGAACCCATGAGCCATGAAATCATGCATGACCTGAGCTGAAATCAAGAGTTGGATGTTCAACTGACTGAGCCATCCAGGGGCCCAGATAAAAAAGATCTTTAAAAAAATTTTTTTTAATTTATTTATTTTGAGAGCCAGCATGCATGCGAGCTGGAGAGGAGCAGAGACAGAGAATCTCAAGGAGGTTCTGCCCGGTCAGCGCAGAGCCCATCTTGGGGCTTGATCTCATGAACCGTGAGATTATGACCTGAGCCGAAATCAAGAGTCCGACGCTCAACTGACTGAGCCACCCAAACGTCCCTAAAAAAGATCTTTTTAAGAGGGTAGATCAATTCTATAATAAAGAATTTGTACAGAATGAGTAAAAGAGAAAGGGAGGAGAGGGGAGATGGTGGTGGAGCAAAGATTTGGAATCAACTGTGCTCCACCTAGGACCGGCACATTGTAAGCACGTACTAAATAATTGTGGAAGAAATGAGAGAACATTTCAGGAGAAGAAGGCATCTGGAGAGTTTGACTATGCTTGGACATGTATCCCCGTACCATTCTGTGAGAAATTCGAGCTAAGACTGGGATTCTTTTTTTTTTATGTTTATTAATTTATTTTGAGAGAGACAAGAGACCTCTAGCAAGTGGGGGAGGGGCAGAGAGTGAGGGAGAGAGAGAATCCCAAGCTGGCTCCACGCTGTCAGTGCAGAGCCCTACTTGGGACTAGATCTCAGGAACCGTGAGATCATGACTTGAGCCCAAATCAAGTGTCAGAGGCTTAACCCACCAAGCTACCCAGGCACCCCCTTTTCAATTACTTATGTTAGTAAACTTCGCTCTTTGTTGAGTCTAGACCACACTGGGCACCACCAGGTACACGGTGGGTTAGAGTAAGGGTCTGGGGTCAGGCCGTCCCACTTAATGCTGGGTGAGGTAAGCATCTCTCAAGCAGGAGTAGCCTCAGGGAATCTTCTGGAGTCAGGAGAAGGAAGGACATTCAGGAAGAGCCCAGGGAAGCACAGGCTGGAGGAGAGAGAGGTTTCAGGGTGAGCGGTGTAGGTAGATCCAGCTTGGCATCTCAGCCGACTGAGCCCAGGTGTACGATGGGGACGCCCCACAACCCGAGAGCCGATTGCGACCGGGGCTGTACGGAAGTTGTCTCCGCCGCCCACGAGGCCTTGCCTGAGCCGGAAGCCGCCGCCGCCCCCACCCCGCCCCGCCAAAGGCTCTTGGACCTCATCACTTTGGCTCTAGAATCCGTCGCCTCCTGTCTTGAGCCAGAGTGGCCAGCAGAGGGCGCGCGGGAGACAACCGGGCCGAGGACCGCAAGCCGCCGATCTAGCCTGACCCGGGTCATAGAGTCGCCCCGCTTCCGGCTCCGCGGCTGGGAAGGCGCCGGAAGTCCGGCGGGCTCCGGGCGTCGAGATGGAGGAGGGCGAGTACGAGTCGGTGCTCTGTGTCAAGCCGGAGGTCCACGTCTATCGCATCCCGCCGCGAGCCACCAACCGTGGTTACAGGTGAGGGCTCGCCGCCCGCCCAGGCTAACCCCGATTTAACCCCTTCCCCTCTGGCCGACACGCCCACTTGGGAGCCGCGGACGGGCCCCGGCGGGTGTAGGGGGAGAGGCGGGAGGTAACGCTGCGGCTTCTCCCAGTTCGAGGCCAGAGCGGGGAGAGGGACCCAGACTTTGGGCCGTCTCAGCCCGACGCACGGGGCTCCCGGCGCGCGGGAGGCGTTAAAGTCGTGTCTAGCGTGTGGGCTGCCGAGTACCCTAAAAGTGGTTGGGAGTAGGGGTGTCGCAGACCTTTTCTTCCAGCGCTAACTGGCCTCGAAGGGAACCTTGAACAAACCGAAGGGGGAGGGGTCCTATCTCACGCGGAAATCCCCAGGGGAAGGAAGGGAGCGGAGAACCGGCCAAAACGACCCATCCGAGCTGTAAGCGGATGGCCAAAGCCCAGGGGCCACTCCCTGCCCAGCTCCCTTCGCACGAACCTCAGGCCCTATCGCAGCCTGGGGCGGTTGGGAGGAGTCCGTCCGCACGTCTCCTGTGATAAACAGGTGCTTGTAGCGTCAGGGAGGGAACGGAACGCACGACAGCGAGGGCTGGAAAGAGACGTCCTTTCACGGTATCCTGTTTTGTACTGTTTGCATGTTGTCACCCTGTGTGTGTGCGCGTCAACTACGAAAAGAAGAACAAAAGATGCACCTGTTACAGATGACCTGATCTGTGGCTGTTTTGTGCCACGGGGTTGGGGGTGGGGTCTCTCTTGAAGGCAGTGTTTGTGTAAGTGATTTGGAAATACAGGAGTGGCCTGCAGGGCAAGAATGGTGGTGTGTCGGCATCTCTGGCCTCTTGTTCATCTCCACTTGTGTTAACACAGACTTGTAGCTGATTTTCTAGAGAGCAGAGGGTTTTCTTGACCGCCGAGGAGATCCATGATGTCACTTGAAAAAGAGTATGAAAGCAACAATAGAAACAATTAGGAAAACATTCACTCTCTGTCATCAGAGACACCGGACCGGGCTTGGTCATCTCCTGTGATCCCCTTAGGTAGGATGGGCTTTGTCCCTCCTGGTCGCCCCCCAGAGCGAGAATCTCGCAGTGTCAGGGCCGACTGCTGTGGCCCAGAGGGAGCCAGCAGCCCCTGCCCTTCACCCTCACGGCTCTGCTTGGCTTGACTTTAAGGCCTGGGTGTGTTGCCCCGTTAAGAGGAACCGAAACGGAGTCTGCTGACTTGTGAGCTGAGAGCCTGCATCTACGTGATCCGCACAGCAACCTGTGTCCACGTGACGGTGCCGCTCCGAGTCCTGACTTGTGCTCAGGGACTTCCAAGAAAGGCCTCTCGGAAACACCCATGGTTCTGGGTATTTGGCGGTTTTACTAAACTGCTTCTTAGAATTAAAACGTGAAGTTACCGCTTTAAAAGTCCCCTGAGGGGTTGCCTGGGTGGCTCAGTCAGTTGAGCGTCTGACTTCGGCTCAGGTCATGATCTCACAGTTCGTGGGCTTGAGCCCCACGTCGGGCTCTGTGCTGACAGCTCAGAGCCTGGAGCCCCCTTCAGATTCTCTCTCTGCCCCTCTCTTGGTCACACTCTCTCTCTCAAAAATAAATGTTAAAAAAAAATTTTTTTGGAAGTCCCCCTAGAAGCCATTGTGATAGGTCCGCGGTGGCCTGGGGTTCTTCCTGCCCTAGGACAGGAAGAGTCTGTTTCTTGAACACCCATCCCCCTTCCTCTCACGGATGGTTGCTCTCTTTTCTCTCTCTCTCTCTCTCTCTATTTTTTATATATTAAAAAAATTTTTTTTAACGTTTATTTATTTTTGAGACAGACAGCACGAGCTGGGGAGGGTCAGAGAGAGAGGGAGACACAGAATCTGAAACAGGCTCCAGGCTCTGAGCTAGCTGTCAGCACAGAGCCCGACGTGGGGCTGGAACCCACGAACCGTCTGATTGAGCCACCAGGCGCCCCTCTTTTATCTTTCTTCTAATGATTGCTCCCTCCCTGCCCGCCTTTGAAGATCGTCTCAGTGGCCCCCAGTGGTCGCTCTGGCCGGTGCAGCCTGGCAGTGTCTTAAACAGCAGGGCCAGTGGCTGCTTCCTTTACAGAAAGAAAACTGGAGGGGCATCTGGGTGGCTCAGTCGGTTAAGCATCTGCCCTCGTCTCAGACTGTGATCTGCGGTTCGTGAGTTTGAGTCCCACATTGATATCTCTGCTGTCTGCCCAGAGCCCACTTCAGATCCCCTGTCCTCCTCTCTCTCTGCCCCTCCCCTGCTGTCTCTCTCTGTCTCTCAAAAACAAATATACTTGGGGCTCCTGGGGCTCAGTTGGACCTCCAACTTCGGCTCAGATCATGATCTCCTAGTTCATGGGTTCAAGCCCCGCATCAGGCTCTGTCCTGACAGCTGAGAGCCTGGAGCCTATTTCCGATTCTGTGTCTCCCTCTCTGCCCACCCCTGCTCGCACTCTGGCCCTCTTTCTCTCTCAAAAATAAAAACAAACCTAAAAATGTTTTTAAAAATATACTTAACAAAAATGAAGGAAAGAGAACTTGAGGTCCTGCTTCAGAGAAGATCTCTGTAGTCTAGAACTGGGTTTGGCAAACCCCAGCCCACTGTGTTTCTGAATGTCTCACGGGCTAAAAATGGTTTTTCCGTTTGTAAATCATCGGGGAACGTTAAAAAGAATATTTCTTAATGGAAAATTATACGAGATTCAGGTTTTTAGTGTCCATAAAGCCGCACTGAAGTATAGTCACACTCAGCAAAAACATCCAGTTAAATTACTCAAAGCCCCGGCACGCTCACATACGATATATGGGCGCTTTCACACGACAGCCGCAGCGTGAGGGCTTGTGACGGAGGTGGCATGGCCCTTCTCAGAGGAGATTTGCCAACCTCTGGTCTAGAGCAGGTGGCCCGGGTGCCCTTCCCGTTCCTGTCCCCAGCGCTGGAGTGATGGAGCGGGGCCCTCTAGCAGAGGCTGTATGGTTTTTGTCCCCATAGGGCCGCGGAGTGGCAGCTGGACCAGCCGTCATGGAGTGGCCGGCTGCGGATCACTGCGAAAGGGCAGGTGGCCTACATCAAGCTGGAAGACAGGACCTCAGGTAAAGGCAGGACACCCTTGTGGAGCTGAGATGCCACACCTCCCACTCTGCCAAGGGGCAGGCAGCCCGGCCCTGGCCAGTCCGCTCAGGAGTCATGGGAACCGACCCTGGAAATCAGGCCTGACTGTACCTTCAAACAGTCTCCCTCCGCCCATACCCCCCTTAATTGTAGAAACCACTGTCTCCAGGTGTAAAGGGGAGCATTTTGTCAGGCGCCTGTTTTTTCCTTAAGAAAATAGAAATTGTGGAACCCACGGAGAGGAGGCCTGCAGGTTGGTCCCAAGGAGGGAGCCCGGAGTTTGCCCTGAAGACGGGCTGGCGGGGGGCGATGCACAGCTCTCGACGGGTGAGCTCTGCGCTCGCTCAGGAATTCTGTTTCTTGATAAATAGTAGTTGCCCGGACTGACCGTGCCTGTGAGCTGAACAAGCTGGAAACTGTTCTGCTCAGCTCTTTCTCTGGTGAAAGGACAGGCTGGGCCGTGTCGGGGCAGCTGGCAGCTGTCCCCTTAGGGGAGATCTGGAAGTCCTGTGCCAGTGATGCCGCTGGGGGAGCTGTGGAGGGCATCGCGGCCTGCTATGGCCCAGCCCCCAGAGCAGGGGACAGGCACAGCGCCGGCTCGGTCGGGGGGCCACAGCCTTTGGCCGCTTGTTTCCCCGGCACATAGAGATGGTTCTTGGTGGGGCAGCAGACAGTGTCAGGGGTCATGGGCCAAACGGGCTGCGTCGTCTTGGAGCTGTGTCACTTGTGTCCGAGCTGTGAGACCTTGGGCGGGCCACGTGACCTCTCGTGCCTTGGCCTCCTCTGTGACATGGGGACTGCATTAGCTCATGTGTCACAAGGTTGTTGGAAATAGGAAGTGAGCATGGACTTAGCCAGTTCCTTTGTGAACTGCAGGGTGACACAAAGCATCGATTCGTGTCGGAGCGTGGAGTTGGGGTACTGGCTGCAGAGGAGGTTGAAAAGACAGTCGCCACCTGAGGCCAGAGAACTCTGGCTGTGAGGCTCGCTGCCGTGTCCCGGGTGACATCCAGGGGAGGGCAGCACCCGTTTTCTGGGAGCCTTGGGAGCTGACTTTAGGGTGACGGGCGAGCATAGCAGCAACGGCACAGAGCTGAGTCTCCCCCATGGGGATCACCCCAGGATGCGCTTCGCTTGGGGTCACGCCCACTGGGTCCTGCTTGTCTCTCATTCTGCAGTCATTTTAGGCCAGGGTTTCTCAGCCTCAGTGCTAGTGACGTGTAGGCCAGGGGAGTGTTGTGGGCTGTTAAGTCAAATTTAAGATCCTTTTTGTTTTTTTAATGTTTGTTTATATTTGAGAGAGAAAGAGAGAGACAAAGCGTGAGCAGGGGAGAGGCAGAGAGAGAGGGAGACGAGAATCGGAAGCAGGCTCCAGGTTCCGAGCTGTCAGCACAGAGCCTGATGTGGGACTCGAACTCATGAACCATGAGATCATAACCTGAGCTGAAGTCGGATGTTTAACTGACTGAGCCACCTAGGTGCCCCAAGTCACATTTAAGATACTTAGCAGCCTCCCTGGCCTCTGTCTACCAGATGCCAGTAGCACCGCCCGCCCCCCCGCAAGTTGTGAACATCAAAAGTCTCCACACGTTGCCACAGCTCTCCTGGGGGAAAGGTGAGCAAAATCACCCCTGGTCGAGAATCGCTGCTCTGGGCCGAAGGCATCCAGGTGAGTTCCAGATGCCGGAGACCCAACCAGGGGGGCAGAGAAATGATGGAGAAGCTACACACTTCAGGGACACTGATTTCAGTCACCTCAGTAGTAAATCCTTGAGCATGTGAATGGAGATCAGCAGCTGCGGAAATGACGCGGGTCCAGAATGTCCCCAAAGGCGTGTGCTGTGCTGGGGCCTGGAGAGCCGGAGGGACGGAGGACGCGTTTCCCAAGGGCTCCTTTTAAGACCAGTGGTTCTTTTGTCCTGGGTCAGCTGCTTCAGAGCCTTCTGTGGGTGCCCAGGCCCTCTTTCCACGGGGTTCACCGGCCCGTCTGCAGCCCTGCCTCCAGCAGCAGTCCTTTGCTGAGGTTGTGCTGGACCTGGACCAGGGCCTGCCTGCTCCCGGGCCCTCAAGTGTGGACGGGTAATGGCGCAGCCGAGGCGGGTAGGCCGTAGCCCTGCACTCCTGCGGGAACGGAGCTCCGTCGCCGGAGCTTTAGGTTTTAAGAGAAGCCGGAAGCCTGGACTGTTTTACATGTAATTTGGTTTGGAAAAGTTTGGCACTTACATTACAAATATTAAAACTGGGCTGTATGTGACCTCTAAGCCCCCTCTGACTTAAACCTTTCCTCGCTTGTGTTTCTCCTGTCTTTCCGTCCTTTGGAATAGATTGGATTTGAACTCCAGAGTAAGGTTTGCCTATCTGCCTTCCAGGGAAGAGGCCCCGGTGGTGTGGTAGACATGCCAGGCTGGAAGGCGGCTCCGGGCTCACCCTAACTTTTGCTTCCAGGAGACCTCTTTGCTCAGGCCCCGGTGGATCAGTTTCCGGGCACAGCCGTGGAGAGCGTGACGGATTCCAGCAGGTACTTCGTCATCCGCATCGAAGATGGAAACGGTGCGTGCGCGGGGGTTGGCTCCCCCTGCCGAGAAAGGCTTCCTCTGCCTCTGGCAGGTGGGACCAATTCTGTGCTTTTCCCCCAGGGCGCCGGGCGTTTATTGGAATCGGCTTCGGGGACCGTGGCGACGCCTTTGACTTCAACGTTGCGTTGCAGGACCATTTCAAGTGAGTGGCTCCAGGACACGCGTGCTCACGCCTCCTCCCTTCTTTCCCCGACTTAGGAGGGTCGTGTGTGATTCGTGTGCTGGCGGGGCCTTGAGGGGGGCTCCCTGGTCCTGTGGGGCAGGCTGCCTGCTCTGATTCCACGTCACCTCCTTTTCCCAGGGCCATCTGGCCCAGCCTCTTCCCATACCAGGCGCCAGGGGTGCCAGAGGCCGTGCGAGGCTCAGGTGGCCTTGCCGAGCCCGTTCCCCCGCGGTGTGATCCTGCACCCCCCACCAGGTGTCCGGGGAGTCCATTCTACGGCTAGAAGACAGGACAGGCCCCCACCTCTGGCTGCTGGCGCGTTGAGAGTACAGCCACTCGCGTGGGCCCCTCGGCGCTTCCCTGGCCTGGTGTCCCTGGATGGCTGTGGGTGGGTGTCAGGTGGGGGGCCCTTTGTGTTGCTCTCTACCTCACTGGCATCCGGCTTGTCTCGCCACCTACCTGACGAGTCCTTGGACGCCAGGTGTGGATACATTGTCTTAGTTCTCGTGCCAGGTGCTGGGGGAGGACAGGGCCAGGCTCCCAGATTTCCTGGACAGGTGGCAGGGCCACCGTGCACATACGCGAGCTCACTGAATTTTCATAGCGGTCATTAACACACAGACTTGTCATCCTGTTTTGCTGAGGAGGTCACGGAAGTGCGCGGCTACTTACGTGACAGTCAGGATTTGAATTCAGGTCCCACTAGCAGGCCCACGTGTGCTCTTTCTGCGGGGCACCTGGTCTCATCTTCACCTCTTTCTTCCTGTTCTCTTCCCAGGTGGGTGAAACAGCAGTGTGAGTTTGCGAAACAAGCCCAGAACCCTGACCTGGGCCCCAAGTTGGACCTTGGCTTCAAAGAGGGCCAGACCATCAAGCTCAACATCGCGGTGAGTCCCATCCTCACTTGGCTTTGTTGGCCCAGCACCCAAGCCTGACCCAGAGCCCTTCCCTCTTTTCCCACAATTCAGTTCCATCGGTTGAGCCCAGCTGCCTTGTGCCGGGTGCTCTGCCGGGAGTGAGCGAGAGGGCTCAGCCTCACGGAGCTCAGAGTTCACCCGAGTGGACAAGCCGAGCCATGATTACAACCTGGCAGGGGAGGGGATGTGCTCAGGGCCGTGAGCTCCTAGAGGAGGGGCACACAGCCCGGAGCTTGGGGAAGCCAGGAAGGCTTTCTGGAAGAGGATGCCAGAGCCTTCTGCTCTGGGCAGTGGGGCCTTGAGGTGGATGCTGGGAGTCACGGGAAGCGTCTGGTAGTGGGGATGGCCCCCACTTATTAGCTCTTATTGAGAGCGGGAAAAGGTAGTGCTGGGCTGGGTGGCCAAGGCTTGGTCCTCACCCGGCTGCAGGCAGTGGGGTTGGAGCGATTTGGGGAAACCAAGGACCAAATGGAAATGTTTTTTGCAGAAACTTTGTAACCCTAAATAATGCTCTTCCTTTTTACTTACACTGTCTCTTTCTCCTCTTTTCTGCTTCGTGCTGGTGATGATTTGGGACCCTTGAAGTTGGCCAGCTGGCCCTTAAGAGAAAATACCAGTCACGTCCAGTGGACTGGTTGGGATGTGACTCCTCTCTTTCTGAGAGGGGACTAGCACTTATGAGCCTCAGCTGTGTGCCAGGTAGTGTTCTTAGGCACTTACGTGACGCAAGCGTTCGTCCGTTTTACAGGCGAGGACATTGAGGCTTAGAGAGATTAAGGGACTTGCCCAGGTCACAGAGCTGGAAGGGACCAGCACAGCTGGACTCTCCCTGAGGGCCTCGAGGCTTCTGACTTCAGGGCTGTGGTCTTAGCATTGGATTAAGCTGCTGCTCTACTTTCAAAGGTAGGGACTGTGACTTCATTCTTGTAACCAGCACTGGTTTGTGGCTCACGTTGGGACTCAGGTTTTGGGGACTTCAGGTTCTCTAAGGTCTTATTGAAGTAAGATATGCATGCGGAGAAGCGCACACATTATGAACGTAGAAGTCAGTGAATTTTTGAAAACCAAATGTACCCACACAGACTAGCCCCGCATCAAGGAGCAGAGATTATCAGTGCTCCGGAAGCCCCTCCCCTGCCCCTGTCCACAGGCTAGAGTAGCCACTGTCCTGACGTTGAACGCCCTACATTTTGTTTGTAACTTTTATGAACGAGCCCTACACTCTGTGCTCTCGTGTGTGTGGCCTCTTTCCTTTACCCACCGTAGCATTGGTGAGAGCCTCCGTTTTGTTGCATGTAGCTTGCCCATTGTCACTGTGGTGGCGTATTTCATCACGACAGTATGACCCTGTGTTCCCGTTCAACCGACGATGCACATTGGCGTAGTTGCCAGTTTGGAGCGGTTACAAATGGTGCGGCCGTGAACGTCCAAGTGCATGTTTTCTGGTGCACGTAAGAACACGTTCCTGTGAGGTCTGCTTCCTGGAGGGGAATTGCTGGGTCATCCATTCGCATGCTCAGCTTTACAGAGTCTTTGAAACCATTTTCCCAAGTAGTTTTCCCAGTTAACACTTCCACAGCTGCGTACCGGTGTTCTGGGTGTTCCCTGGCCTCATTGCACTACTGATGTTCTGCATTGTAGCCATTCTGGTGGGTGTGTAAAGGCATAGCACTAGTTTTGACTTGTAGTTCCCAGATAATTAATGAAGCCAGTGCTTAGTCTTAAAGTTAAGTGTATTTGGGAATAGCTCCAGAATCACGGTGCATTGAGTACTGTCCGTAGCAGTGAGAGTCGGACAGCTCTTGACCGTCTTGTGGTTATGCAGACGTCTGGGTCCTGGGGGCTGCCTTGGCCTTCCCCTTGGGGCTTTCCGGTGGGAGTGGGACCCCAGCAGAGCTGACCCACTTGCATTCCTCTCCTCTCTTTAGAACATGAAGAAGAAGGAAGGAGCAGCTGGGACTCCCCGAGCCCGGCCTGCCAGCACAGGGGGCCTGAGCCTGCTTCCCCCGCCTCCAGGGGGGAAAGCCCCCACCCTGATCCCTCCCCCTGGCGAGCAGCTGCCTGCGGGGGGGCCCTTCGGCCAGACAGCAGTTGCTCCCAGCTCAGGTCAGTGCTCTGGAGTAACCGTACTTGCTGCTAAATCTGCTGCTGTGGATTCCTCTCCACCCCCCACTCCCCACCCCCCCAGTGGCTGGGCCCCTGTGGTGTTCCCTCCTGCACTCACACGGATCCATCATTTGGTACCCGTATGTGACAAACTGAAAGGGGAGCACCGCAAAGCTGGTCCTGCCCAGACTGGGTCAGGGCCTGTTCTGTTCTCTGATGCCGCCACTGACCCCCTCGGTGCCTCTGTCTACCTCTGGTGGGCAGGGCCTGCCACTCGTTCGTGGCTGTGAGAACATCCGCACCTGGCTTCCTGGCTCTCAGGCTGCTCTGTGTTTGTCAAGTGAGTGGGTGCTGGACACATGGTCTGCTCGTGGCGGCTGCACATGTCTAGTAGGGGAGGAATCATGGGCGCAAAGACCACACATATGGGTCCACGTCCCTTCGGCTGGCATGATGTGGGGAAGCATCACGGGAAAGGTGGGATTAAACTGGGTCCTCGAAGGAAAGAGATTGGGGCAGGGGATGCTTGGTGTTGTGGAGAGAGAGAAGAGTGTGAAGGGGGCTCAGATTTTTTTTTTTAATTAGTTAATTTTGAGAGAGCGAGAGAGTGCACGTGAGAGTAGGGGAGGGGCAGGGAGAGGGGGAGAGAGAATGCTAAGCAGGCTCCACATTGTCAACACAGAGCCCAGTGCAGGGCCCCATCCCACGAACTGTGAGATCATGACCTGAGCTGAAATCAAAGAGACACTCAACCCGCCGAGCCACCCAGGTGCCCCAAGGCTCGGCTTTTTAGACACCTGGCCTGTTTAAGGTTATAGATGTAGCACCTGCGAAGGTGAGTGGTGGGAAATGAAATTGGGAATTTAGTTTGGAGCAGGCTCCTTGGGAAGGCCCTCGGGGTGCTGGGCAACTGAGAGCCAATTCCCCCAGCACGCTGCGCTGGTGCTCGTTCTGAGGTGTAAGGAACGCCTTTTGGAGACCCTGGGGTTCCAGAAGTTTGTACCTATTACCAGCCGCTGATAGTGCAGGGGAGCTAGCCCGTTTCCTTGGCCTCCCCACCCTACCCGCCCTGGCCTTGCCCAGGCCGGGTGATTGTCACCAGCCCACTTTCTCTACCCAGATCCACCAGGTTCTGAGGGGCAGGATCTAGGCAGGAATCCCGCTTTCGTTCTCTCTTAAGGGGGTGGACGTCGGCTTCCCTGTCCGGCTTCAGGCCTCAGCCTGGTGGGGAATTCCCAGCCCCGTAGCCAGTGAGCCGCTGCCCCAACACCAGGAACTAGCACTGCGGACGGCCACCTACCTTGGCATCACCAGGGATGGGCAGGAACGTCTGCGTTCCTAGTGTCACGTCCTGGGCTCTGAGAGCCAGTCGTAGGCCTTCCCTTGGCTGCTGGTGCGTTTTTAACAGCTAATACGGAATATGTATATGCACCAGGCAGTATTTTAGGCCCCGGGGGTACTGCAAGTTCAGCATCACACCCCTGCTCTCAAGGGCTGTGTTTAGATGTGCCAGACGGGCAATTAGTGTGTCTCCAGACAAAATGGTGTCAGAGCCCCCCCCGGTGGCTTAGTTGGGTAAGACTCTTGAGCTCAGCTCAGGTCTTGACCCCAGGGTCACGAGTACAGTCCGTGAGTTGGGCTCCAAGCTGGGTGTGGTGGACCTAGTTAAGGAAACAAAACACGGACCAGTTCTGTGAGGTCAGCACCATTATTGTGTCCATTTGAGAGATAAGGGAACTGACACTTGAGGAATGTGCATGAAGTCACACAGCTGGTCCTGGCGCGTATCTTCCCCCAGGGACCCTGATGGGGCCTGGAAGATAGTGTACTTTAAAGCACTGCAAGCACTTGGCAAGCTGTAAGACTAAACACTCAAGGGCCCTGATTTCATCTGATCTCCCAGCCCAGAGCAGAGTAGACATAGCAAATTGGCGGGAAGGCAGAGGGTAGCAGGCGCAGGGCCCTTGGAAGGGACGGTTAGCGCTGGCAGAGGTGCCACAAAAGCGCCGACATGGGGGGCCCCATTGTGCCCCCTCGATGAAGAGGTACAGATACCAGCTTCTGTGGCAACGACCTTGCATCTTTGGCAGACGTTCTCCGTTCAAGAAGCCAGGGCAGGAGGCGGTAAATTATAGACAGATTGCCACCGCGAACAGTTGGAGACAAGGTCAGCCTCGGGTATGGGTGAGGTGTGACTCCTCACTGGCACCCTCCCCTCCACCTTGAACCTGGCCTTCCACCCCTCCAGGAGCCCTCTGGGCCTCGTGAGCTGATGGCGGGCATGTGGCAGCTCACTGGGTTTTGCTGCCCCAGAGCAGGGCTCCGGGTGTCTTTCTCAGTCCCTGGAGCCATGAGACAGATTTCGGGGTCCCCGAGACCGCCAGAAACAGGGCTCTCTGACTCTTGTGTCTCCTTTTCTTTCTCCCCACCCACCGGACTTGGGGACATCAGTAGGAGGTGCCACCGTGTCCTGGCCGCAACCCAAGCCTGCCACTCCTGCCACCGCCGATGTCTGGGGAGACTTTACCAAGTCCACAGGGTGAGGAGGGACACGGTTTTGTGGCGGGACTGCGGCTGGGGCTGTTTCTTCAGAAACCTGCCATCGGCCCAGATGCTTTTGTCCTGGTGCTTGGAGCAGCGGCTCCCACTTGGGCATTTTCGGGCCAGAGGGCAGAGCGCCCACGGGCCTGCTTTGGCGGCGCGCCTCTCTCCGGGAGGGCTTGTTCCTGCTCTCCACTGCTGGGCGACCCGGGGCTGCGCTTCGCAGCTCTCGCTGGCGTCACACCGCCTCCGCGAGTGCCTTGGCTTGTCCTCACCAGGAGCTCCCCTTCCTCCTCCACCCCGTCCTCATGGGGCCTCTGAGGCAAGGTCGAGGGGAAGAGATGCTAACAGCCTGCTCTACTCTGTGGATATCGTATGCACAGGCTGTAGGATGGGACTCCGCACATGCTTTCTCTAGAGGACCAGACGGCAAGTGGTGTAGACTCTGCAGTCCTCACGGCCGCACGTGGTGTGTCAGTGACCGTGTGTGGCTGTGTGGCAGTAACGCTTTGCTTACGGGAACAGGCAGAGGGCTGGATTCGGTCCCTGCTCCAGAATGTTCAGGGACTGACTTCTTGGAGCTCTTTCCTGCCGAGACAGAAGCCACGTTTTATCGACTTTGTATTTTCAAACATCTGAACTCTCCCACCCCTCCCTTGTATTACTTTTACAGGTCGAGTTCCAGCCAGACTCAGCCAGGCACAGGCTGGGTCCAGTTCTGATCCGAGCGCAGCCCTTTTTTTCCTCGTACAACTTCCCGGAAGGAGCCGCCTCACCTGGGCCGAAGGGAGGAGGACGTAGCGCTCCGCGGCCAGCCGCTGTTGGGAGCATGACTCTCTCCTCCTCGCCTGACTTTCTTGCCAGTTTGGCGTGTCTGGCAGTGAACTAGCACCGTGTCACCCTGTTGCCTGGGGTGCAGGTATGCAGCCTGAACACGGGAGGAGAAAAACTCCAGCGTCCCTGTCTCTCTGTTCTCTTGACGTGAAAGACTCCGAGACTGTGGCTTCCATCACAGTGACCCGTATTAAACACGAGCCCCCAAAGCAAAAAGGATGGGGTTGAGTGTGCTGCCTGGACTCACATCGGCCCTTCTCAGTGGTTACAGGCATCACGTGATCAGCGTCCAGGAGGGTTTTGTGCACCCCCACTGGCTGGAGCTCCGTCATGCAAGGTGCTTTCACAGGGGGGATTCCTTCCTGATCGCTGGCAGGTTTATGGGCTGCAGCCTGAACAGATAATCACGAGGGGAACCAGAAGTATTAACCAGCTTTTTAAACCTTTTTTAAATAATTGCTTTGCTAACGTGCTGATCTGCACTAACTGATCCTTGCAAAGGGGGTGGCTGCTGCAATATGCCCCGGCTGGGGCCCCTGAAAGCATTCCATGGCGTGGGCCGCCGGAACCGTGCCAAGCCTTGGAGAGCAGTGTTCGTCGTGGCCAAGCGGCCTGGTGGCCGGGTGTCTTGGGCCAGGCTGGCTGTGCAGGGCTGAGGCAGGCTTGGCTGGCGGCCAGGTGGGAGAATGTTCGAGCAGGAAAGTGGGAACCGTTCTTGTGGAGGTGGGGGGGCCTGCCTTCCTGCACGCCGCTGGCTCCATGGGTGGTTTCCGAAATGCCTGGTCTGCAGATAGCCTCTGACCTTCCTTTTCTCCTGCAGAGGCCGTGCGTGGCAGACAGGAAGGGGTTCTGTGCGAACCGGAGGTCTAGGGTTGCCTGTAGTACTGGTTTGTAAGGTGTAATTTTGTCTGAGCACACCTCTGAATTTGCTTTTATTGACATAATTTACCTCTTAGTTGAAAGATCTATTTTTTGAAGGGTCAAGACGATGAAATGAAAACAAAGTGTTGGCCTTTTTGTGGGACCAGATTCCTAAGATAAAGAACTAAATATTTTTACTTTTGTTAGCGTATGTCAAAGATGAACAGGTTTTCGGCAGCACTGATTAGGTGTCCCGATTAAGGTCTGGTGTCAGGTTAGCCAGCGTGAGAGGATCCGGTCTTCCTGCCCTCAGGCAACCAGTCACTTCTGTGCACCTAGAGGAGCACGGGCCTTGTGCCGTTCTGGGATGTTCTGGGCTCCTGCCTTGTAATGTGGGAGGGGGTGCTGCGGAAGTGTCTCCCGAGATAGTGAGGGTGTAAGGGCACTCAGAGGCCACAGCCCTTCCCATGCCTGCGGGTTTATGAGAAGGCTGCACACTGTGTTGTGGTTCCAGGAAGAAACAGCGGCTCTGACTAACAAACCAGCTAAAGGGGGACGTAGAAAAGGAGACCTGAGGGTCCTCTGCCCTTTGAGAAGAGTAAGGAATTCGCATTAAAGGGGTCTCGGGACTTCGGGTCTCTTGGCCATTATGTCCCGTCTTTTTTCTCCCTGAGCACTTGGTGGCTGGAAGGGAGGAAGCTTACACTCGAAGGAACGTTCGAGTTGGAAGTACATCCCCTTGGAGGTGGGCGCTTGGGTTCTGGAGATGGACCTTGGCTTTGGCTCTAGGCACTCTCCTGGTTAGGTGTGTGGCCACGGGCTCCCTCCTTAACCCACGTGTTACTCAGAGGAGACGTAGAAGCATTAGCCCATCTCATAGTCTAGCCTTGATTACATCAGATAATTTACCCAGAACCATTGCTCATGATGGGGGTGGCGACGGCGAAGCGACCATCAAGGATCTAACCTCAACAACACCTTGACGGATCTGGGGGGGTTGGGGGGGGCACGAAACAGGTTGGTGTTCTCCAACACCTACTGGAATCCTGGCTGGAATAAAACCTGCTATGGGGCCAGGGTCCCCAGGAAAATCCCCAGTACCAAACCAGACACCTGACCAGGGCTTCCAAATTGGTGGGGGTTGGGGGGGTGGGGAATGTGAGGCCTAGGCTGTACCCTACAGAGCAGGGGGATTTGAATACCCTGACCCACAAAGGTGGTCCCCATTATTACCACCAGCCGGTGGGCACGCCTCGTGTAATCCCCTCCTTTGATGTAGGCCAGGCCTGTTTCTTCTAAGCAATACAGTAAAGCAAAGGTGACAAGGTGCCGCCTCCGTGATGAGGTTACAGAACATCACAGCATCTGACTTGCTGAGATCCCCTCTCGCTGGCTGTAGAGAAGCAAGTGGCCCGTGCGTGCTGCCCTCGTCAGGGTCGGAGAGGCAAGGAACTGAGGGCAGCCCCCGGCTGACAGCCAGTGGGAGACCAGAGCTCCTGGTCTGGCAAGTCTGCAGGGAACAGAGCCCTTGCCCAAACCACGTGAGCCTGGAAGCTGGTCCTTCCCAAGGCGGTCATTCAGATGAGCCCCAGCCCCAGCCAAACCTTGACTGCAGCAGTGCAGAGGACCCGGCAAAGCTGGGCCCAGACTCGGGACCCAGAGCAACTGAGCCAGTAAATGTTTTAAGCTGTTAAATTTGTGGTAGTCCTGTCAACGCGGCAATAGATAACTCCTAGAGAAGTGAGCAAAATGTGTTTAAAGTGGGAGTCTCCAGGGCCCCTGGGGGAGCTCAGTGGGTTAAGCGTCCGACTTGGGCTCAGGTCACGGTCTCACGGGTTGTGAGTTCAAGCCCCGCATTGGGCTCTGTGCTGACAACTCAGAGCCTGGAGCCTGCTTCAGATTCTGTCTTTCTCTCTGCCCATTCCCTGCTCGTGTGCTGTCTCTCTCTCAAAAATAAATGAACATTAAAAATAATAATAATAAACTTAAAAAAAAAAAAAGATATCCAATGAATCCAGTTAATCAGAATGTCTGTCCTCTGCACCTCCTGGTTAATGTGGTTTTGCTGCTGGTGGGCAAAGTCCAGCCCAGCCTCACACCGGGATTTGGCAGGCTTTTGGCCCTAGCAACCCTGGGGGGGGTAATTCCAGTCACTTGTTTTTCAGTTACCTGAGTTGCAGGTTTAGAACCCTCGGCAGGGAGCAGGTGAGGCCCTGGCACAATTCCTTCTGGTGGCTGGTCTTGGGGGCACTGGGCTGAGCACCATCCAGGTATGGGGCAGGGTGAGTGGGCAGCGGCTCCTGGGATTCAAATGACCACGGGCCACACTGGGCAGAGTAGAGGCCCCGGTTCAGCCCAGGAGGGGGCCCAGCCTCTTCAGAGCGGGGAGCTCAGGCCGGGGTAAGCAGACTCCTGTGGGCTCTTGGGGGTCCAAGGGTCAGGGGAGAGTCGCTGTGTTTGCTGCCCCTCCCAAAGTCATACATGAGGCAGTGTAGTGCAGGGGGAAGGACATGGGATTTAAAGCTCCCGACCCTCCCGATGTATATCCTTGGGCAAGTGGCTGTACCTCTGAGTCTCCCGTTTCCTCCTCTGTAAAACAGAAATAACCCTGGAAGCGGCTTTGCAGCCTAGATTCTGTTTCACAGAACGTTCATAGGGGACTGGGGATGGAATGAGAAAATCTCAGGGGACGCCGCCAGCGCAGTGTGGCGTGCAGCTCATGTAGGCTGCCTCCCAGCTGCAGGTACTGGTAACCAAGGGAGGCCTGGTGGAGGCAACGGGCAGGTCGGGGCAAGGATGTGAGCCTGAGCCCAGACCCTGGTGCTGTGAGGAGCCCCCCGGACTGAGGGCTCTGCAGGGGTGCGATCGGGAGTGGACTGGTGACGCCATGAACCTGTTAGGGCCTGGGTAGGAACCCAGCAAGTCTGGGGAGTCCAGACAGGGTGACACAGACCTGGGCCATCCTGGGGCACCTGGGGGCCAGTGTACTTCCTGGCGGAGGTCAGCCACCCCTTCCTTGGGAAATTGTGCCCTTCTCCCAACCTTGCAGCTCCCCCTCCCTCACCCCCCAACTCTAGGGATTGACCCAAACCTTTCTTAATCAATAGCTCTCAGTCCTGGCCCAAGTTATAGACTTTTTTTTTTTTTTTTTTTAGTTTTCATTTATTTACGTTTGAGATGGGGGAGAGGCAGAGAGAGAGAATCCCAAACAGGCTCCACACTGTCAGTATGGAGCCCATTGTGGGGTTCAAACTCAAGAACCATGATCATGACCTGAGCCTTAAGAGTCAGATGCTTAACCGACTGAAACACCCAGGCGCCCCAGGCTACAGCCTTGCCAGTGCCGTCTCAGGTTGTCAGAGCTTGAAGGCCACGTTCACGGCCTCAAGTGCAGGTTCTCAGACGTAAAACCCAGGCTCTTTGACCAAGATGAAACTCCCACACATCGCCTCCTACCCATCTGTATCCAGCCGTAGGCTTTCTTTTCTTTCTGGGTATTTCCTATTTTCCGAATATAAAATTTGCATTTTCAGACAAAGCAGACTCTTCTCTCAGCCCTAGAGATTCAGACCTGCCTCCCTCCTCCTCTGAAAATGGATGATTTGATTCAATGCTTTGGAGAACAGAGGGACATTGAGGCCCAGTGGGCAGATGGAATCCAACTTCTTGTTACAATACAAATGACATATCACTGTTGTTTCCAAAGCATGATTTCCTCAGCACTGGCTGGCTCAGTCCACGGAGCCTGGGGCTGTTGATCGGGGTTGGTCAGCTTGGCCCCATGTTGGGTATATAGATTACTTTTTTAAAAAGAGGGGGAGCGAGGGGCGCCTGGGTGGCTTAGTCGGTTAAGCGTCCGACTTTCGCTTAGGTCATGATCTCGCAGTTCGTGGGTTTGAGCCCCGCGTCAGGCTCTGTGCTGACTGCCAGCTCAGATTCTGGAGCCTGTTTCAGTCTGTGACTCCCTCTCTCTGACCGTCTCCTGCTCACGCTGTCTCTCTCTCTCTCTCTCCTAGAAATAAATAAAACATTAAAAAAAAATTTTTAAAAAAAAAAAAAAAAAGAGGGGGAGCGACTGAGTGGCTCAGCCAGTTGAGTATCTGACTCTGGCTCAGGTCATGATCTCATGGTTTGTGAGTTTGAGCCCTGCCCCGGGCTCTGCTGACAGCTGGGGAGCCTGGAGCCTCCTTCAAGTTCTGGATCTCCCTCGCTCCCTGCCCCTCCCCCACTCATGCTCTGTCTCGCTCTCAAAAATAAACATTAAAAAATATTTTTACATAAAGAGGGCATAATCTATCAATCAAAAACATGGTTTCCTCTGTGGTCTGATCCCTATCCTGTTTGGGGAAGGCATAGGAGTTTGTGAGAAGTGGGCAGCAAATGGGTTTCCACCATTCCACAGATGAACAAAGTGAGGCCAGAATGCCTCAAGCACGATTGCAGGACAATCAGAAAATGTTCTCCTGCCTGTGGAGTCATCGAAGCCTCAGTACTGTTACTGCGGGGTCCGAGGTGCGGGCGGGCAGGGCAGGGCATGCCCCCTCAGTCCGCTGGGGCGATGGTCGGGGGCCAGAGCTTAAGAGTTTTAGACCTTTAAGTCCTGGCCAGTGAACACCAGTGAGACCGCGGCGGACTCTGCAGCTGGGTGCGGGCTCCGGTTCTGCTCTGCCATCTTGCAGCTCCGCGACCTTGACCCGCTTCCTCTTCAGTTTCCCGTTATGCAAAAGGAGCGAATAATCCTCGCTTGCTGGGTCATGCGATTGTGTTGGAAAAGCCCTCAACCCAGTATCCGCCACCAGCGAGCGCTCAATAGACCGAGGGCGCGGCATCCTTTGTGCCCCCGCCGCAACCGGGCCCAGGGACGCGCCTTCCTCCGCCTCCCGGGCGGGAACGCGGGCGGGGCGGGCGCGGGCACTGGCCCCGCCCCCAGAGCCGCCCCCGGGCCTGCCCCGGCCCCGCCCCGGCCGGCCCGTTCTGCGGCGGCGGCGGCGGTGGCGGCGCGCGAAGGTAGGAGGCCGCGGGCGCGCGCTCCGGCGGGCGGAGGCCGCGAGGCTGAGGTGGCGGCGCGCGCGGGCGGAAGGCGGGCGCGCGCCAGGGGGCGGGCCGGAGCCGGCGTCCCCGGGCCCTGGGGAAACCCCGCGCCCTGGCCGCGTCCCGCACCCACCCGCTGTGCAGGCGATCCGTCTGCCCCCCCCCC